TTAACCTGTTGACTGGAGAGCATTACAACTTTCCGAATTCTTATTTTTATGAAGTGGTGGGGGTGAGGCGGTTATAGTGCTAGTCCATAATGGGATTTGTGAGTGAAAAAGGAAGAACAAGGCTTTCTTCTTGGGTTTCCCTGTATCTGAACTGTCTGAGTGCATTTCCTGGACCTGATATTTTCTTGCAATAATTTACAGACTCAGAATTTATAGACTCAGCTCATTTGATCTTGAATTCATCTCCAAACAGAGATCGTGCCCTCCTCCAGCACTCCCAGGAATATTCTCTGCATATAGAGGTTTTTGGGGGCATTCCACCCGGGACATGCAATAGCGGCTGGCTCTGTCTTTGTATCAGACTTGCAGCAATCCACCTTTGACTGCATTGGACAGGAGACCCGGTTCGATATTGGATATGCACAACTGTTGACATGCAGCATCAGTTAGTAAACTGTTAATTTCATTTATTCAGCCAATAATAATAAGCACATTTTGCCGCCGAAATTCAGTTCTGAAATGCAAGTGCTGAATTTAATGTAGAAACCAGTTGCTGATATTCTGGCCTCAATATGCATGTCTGATTTCTCCTTAGGTGCAGTTTCAAAAACATGCAAAAATTCTAATTTCTACTCTGGGCTTTGGGGAATGGCCTGAGAACCTCTGAGGAAACCCCCTTGCAGAAGCTAAGCAGGCTTGATTCCAGTCAGTGCCTGGATGGGTAACCGCTGAGTACTTCCCCAACACACGACACCTTAAACTCTAACTGAAAAAGATGAGATGAGCGCACTCAATAAGCCCCATCAGATGCTGTGATCTCCACCGAAAACACTCCAAATCTGGAGGCGCAAACACAGGGCAAAACTAGTTGCATGTGCGGAAAGTAAAGGAAAAAGCCCAAATTTGGAAATGTATGGATGGGAGCACAGAAAAGTCTTGGAGCCATGATGGGCAGTGCGTGAAAATGTGAACTCCTTGAGTCACAGAAATTGTGTGTGTGTGTGTGTCAGGCACAGTTCTGGACAGACATGGCAGTTCATCCTGGGAATCCTAATTCTTTAATGTGGTGTTTGGAACATCAGGGTGTCTCTGGATCTGGAATATCAGGCCCTCCAACAGGGAACTCGAGCGATAAATGCCAGTGCATAGGGAGACGAGCCGCTGAGCAGAACTATGCCTGGAAGACCCCTGCAGCCGCAGGGGTCCTGCAAGGAAGCCCAGAGAGGAGACTTCCTGCTGGGAGGGGAGTGTCCTGTCCTGTGTGCACATGATTCCTATGCGGTTTATGCGCTCTTTAGATAATGTAATGATCTCCCCGGTTCACTTCTGTTTTTTCAGAGTGTCTTTTGTGTTTTGTGTTGTGTTGTGTTGTGCTGTGCTGTGCTGTGCTGTGTTGGTGGTGGTGGGGTGGGGGGGGGGAGATCTGTTCAATTACAACCTGGGAAAGTGTGCATGATGTCCTATTGTGCTCCAGCACAGCTCCACCTAGAGGTTGTATTGCAGAAAAGCAGCCAAGGACATACTCTGTGTAGAGCTTGCCATTCAGTGCAGGGATCAAATGGAGAAGAGATGCAGGAATGAACAGCACAATAAATGCACCACATAGAAACGCCTGCCATGGAGAGCGTTGACTGCTAGCTCTTTGTTAGTCGTAAGGTTTGATCTGTGAAGCACCCCTTTCCAAAAGGCGTCCCCACACCCCTGAGTTGGATAGTTATTTCCTTCCCTTTCAGTATTTTAGTCCCAGTTGCTTCATGACTTGGGAGCTCAGTCCGGCGCAAGCCAGAGGCTCTCGGGGCCTTGTTCAGTAATGCAGTTTCTCCCCCAGCATGTCGCCAAACGCGCCGTTTGCGGCAATCAGCTTCTGTGCCGAGCAGGTTGTACTTCAACCGCTTCCCTCCGTCCGCAGTCGAGCTTGAATGCAAAATTCGAGTGCAGCAATAAACCCGGCTTGGCTGCCGTTCGTCTCCCAGCAATAAAGCTCTAAGCTCTGCCATAAATTTGTCAACTTGTGTAATGGCTGTGCCAATTTTATCGCTCACTGCTGAGAGTTTATCATTTCTGCCCTATTCTATGGGGACAAGGAGTGTCACCGAAACAGGAGCCCTGCCATAATTTCTTGAAGAACAAGTGAAATCCTCAAATCCAGAATACATGGCAGTACAGAATGGAGTCCTCTCTCTCTCGCTCCACCAACATTAAGATACCAGGGACTGTTGCAAAGGTTAGAAATGGGTGTGTCAGTTGGGACCTTAAGGCTCAGGTCTCAGTTTAAGTTCCACACACACAACATATGTGACGGACCCCTGAACATGGCCTGACCTGCCTGCACCAACCGGTCGCTTGCATACTTCTGAAACTGGTTCTGGGTTGGTCTGGCCTATAAAACCGTACAGGGCTCGGCACAGTGGTACCTGATGGAGAGCCTCTCCCAACTTGAATCTACTCTGCTTCTGAGGCCTTTCTCCACGTGCCCCTAAGAGGGAGGCTTGGTTGGTGGCACCAAGGAGAAGGGCCTTTCCAGTGGTGACCCCACATATGGGATGATCTCCTCACTGAGGCCCGCCTGGTGCCAGCACTGTCGTCTTTTTGGCACCGTGGCAGCAGGTCAGGACTGCCCTCTGCTCCCAGGTATTCATTGACATCTCGTGGCACATGATGGGGAAGAAAGCATCAGCTTCAACATGTTCAGGACTCGGATTGAAATTGTTCTTAGCCATTTAAATGTGTTCAGAGTCACTGCACTGAAATGCTACGCAGTGTTTTATTATCCACACTTGTGCGTTGCAATTTTATGAATTGCAGCTATCCAGAGATCTTTAGCTGTTGGCAGAACAGAGACGGCAATGATAAAGAAAAGGGAAATTCCAGGCAAACAAGACAAAATAAGGTTTTTCCTTAACTGTGGGGCATGGGGCATGCAGCAAAGGCCTGGAGTCGGGTCCCCTTCCTAAAGCCACTTGTTCTCAGCCAAGTGGAGCAGGCGGTTTTTGAGGGGGCATGTCAAGAGCGCAAAATAAGGGGCGGTATGCTGAAAATGGATGGAGGGGGCTCGCCAAGCAAGGGCTCCATTTTGCCCCTGTGAAATTGGTGAGCAGTGGATTTAAGGGCGGAGAAGCAAAGGCAGTTCTCCAGACAAGACACGGCCACCTGGCCTGAAGGTGTGCTGCCAGTCAGGAGCCCTGGTGTGTTTCAAAGGGGATTAGTCAAACTTTAGAGGGGAGGAGGAGGAGGAGGAGGCTGTCTGGTCCACAGCATCCATCCCAGCAGCCTCCAGTGAGGACAAGGAGTGGAGAAAGCAACTGCACTCACAGCGCCGCAGACCTCGGGCTTTTCTACACAAGGCAGTTATTCTGTGCCCATCATCCCCAGCTTAGGCTGTTTGTGGAGCCTTTGGACTACATGGTAGCCCTCCAGCTTCACTCCTGTGTCCAGCCAGCATTTTTGGCAAGCTTCTTTAATTGTGGAAGTGAAAGACAGCACTGGCTTACTTTCTGCATTTGCACTGTTCTGCTGTGCCACAATTCTCCCTTGCCCCAGGCTGCTCATCTCAAGAGTGCCGTGTGTGCATTGTGCCGCAGCACCAGGCCCTTTCGTGTCATATGTCACGTCTCTCCCCCACCTAGAACCGATGCACCCGTGATCGCGCTGATCGTGCGATTGCACGTACAGGGCTTTTTTGGTGTGGGCAGGAATGCACATGTGCGTTCACAAAACTTCACGCAAGATGAGTGGTGATGCTCTTCTTAATCAGGGCAGTGTGGAGGAGGCACCTAAGCGAAGATGTCAACGAAATGAAGCGGAGACAAACGTCACATGCGGAAATGCATTCCTTCTTGATAAATCATTGCTGGGAGGGCTTGGAGCTTGGCTGAGCAAGTGAGAGGGAAATCAAAGGTCGGGGTGGAAGCCAGAGAAGGGAAATTTGCTAATTGCTGCATCTGTGTCGTTATTGAGAGATCACGGCCAAATTGGTGAACAAAGACATGCCGGATCAAGGAAGACGTGTTCTCCACCACCCCGAAGTGCAGGGTGCCTCGGAGCCGGTGGACTCACTGCAGCGAGTCTGGGCGTTGTCTGGCACAGAGCACCCCTTCTTTCTCTGCTGAGCTCATCAGTGGCTTTATTGCACTCCTCTTTCCCTGCTCCCTTCCTCTGTGCAAGGCTTTAATAAAATTCAAAATCCATTCCACAGAACCATTCCTACTAACGCTCTAGCTTCTTAAAGCACCATCTGTTTCTCTGTGCATTCTGAGAATTCAGGCAGGCTCGCTCCCAGCTGGATGGCTTCTTCTCTTCAGAGCAGCCCACGTTCCCCGATGTTGAACTTGGACTGAACATGTAGCCTGCAGGGCCCCGATCCAACGGCCTGCAAGCACAGCAACTGTGCTGCACCAGAGCCCCTTAAAGGGGGCTGGGAAACCTCCGGCCAAGGGAACAAGGCCGGTCCTCCCTTGACCCCAGTTCCACCTCCTGAGTCAGTTAGTGATGCTCTGGAGTATATACAGTGCCTTCTGCACTGCCCCCAAATCTAACTGGTTGAAGTGCCTCCTCCGGCCGCAACAACTTTACACACAACGTGTCACTTGTGTATTCTTGGGGCCACCCCATTGCCTTTGCACCGGCCCCCTTTGCCACCGGGCAGGGCACCCCAGAGCTTCTCTGAAATGGAATTTCAGGGTGCAAGGGGTCCCCCCGCTCTGCCGTAGAACAGGCTCGAGTGATCAGTAACTGACTTGCAGTGGTCTAGGGTGGGTGCTTTGCAGGCAGTCCAGCAAGTGACCCCTGAGACCAGCTCCAGGCCCAAGGGGGCACAGGGAGAGCTGCTTGGCTGAATCTAGCTAGCACCCTTCCCAGTCTGGATAAGGCCACACAGCCATGCTGCCTAGGCAAGGGGGGTTCTCGCAAAAGAGCGGGGTGGCCAGATCCAGCACCTGGAGCTGCTGCAGGGGAAAGTACTTTAGCCCCAGAGTCAAGCAAACGACACCGCCTGTGCCAGAGATAATACAGTTTATTGAAGGTGGTGCAGAAACCTGGGTGCAGAATATAAACCGCTTCCCACATCTGTGGTTGCATCAGTTCTCTGAACAGGCTGGGGACGCTTCATGGACCTCGGTGAAAATCCTTTCCCAAGGCCAAGAATGAAAGACAGCACCTCTTGCCCTGCGTTGCATAAAGTTTTTCTCTCTTGCTGTTGCAGATTCTGTCCATGCGCACAGAGGTACTTCCCCTGCACCGCCACCCCGAAGCGAAGCTGCTGCAGTCAGGCAAACAGTTTTGTTCTCACAGCAAAAGCAGCCCTTCTCTAGGGAACGAAGAGGCAGCTTCAAGGCCGTGATCTCTGCTGCTCTTCCTGACGAGCTGGAGGCCAGAAGGCACGGCTTCAAGAAACTGTACTTCACCTTTGGACACAGTGAAGGTTCAATATTCTGCTTGTTGAACCTGCCTAAGCTCTTTGCCATACTTCTGGAAAAACCCATACAAAACACAAGGCAAGAAACAAAAAAATCAGGAATGCAGGAAAATGTCACCATTGGACAGAGTGCGGGTCCTTGGCAGATTTCCAAGAATACTGGACCCAAAACTCCAGCGTGCAAATATTTCGTTCATTCATTGCAAGTGCAAAGCTAGACATGTTTAGATAGGAAAGGTCTAGAACATTCCTGGAGTGGTAGGAATATCTTTCTGCTTGAACGCATAAAGGATTGCACCCTAACTCATTAAAGTGGCACTTTTGGATAAGGTCTCTGCTCCCTAGAAGCTTACAATCTAAAAGAGACAGCAAGAAAATAAGAGAGAGGGAGGGAGGTAGGAGGGTTAATTTTGTTCGGTGTGCTTGGAAATGTGGTTATCGTTGCGAATGAACAATGCAGTCCTGTCTTTACTTGGAAGCAGGTTCCATGGTAAATAGAGGGATTTACTTCCAAGTAAGCATGTATAGAAATGAAGCCTCAGGGAAAGTGGGGGAAACAAAGCCCACATGGAAAAAGGACATTTTGAAGAGACATATCAGTTTAGAGGAAGGAAACAAACTGGTATTTCTTGTGCACACATCTTTCTCTACTTTGTTTACTGATTTTTTTAGATCACATTGTACTCCTCCAGTTTCACTTTTATGTCTAAAGAGCCCTTTCAGCTCATCTTTTTACAGCAGGGAAAAAGTGGTATTGCAAACGCAAAAGAAAACGCTTTCTCCATTTGTGTGCTTCTGCTGTCCCACTATCCTACAGGGCCACCTAGAGGTTAGGCATGGAAAGGAAATGCTCTTGGCATCATCTTGGATTTCAAATCTGAGATGAAACCAGAAATTGATATACTGCATTAAGGGTTTTTGTGTAGAAAACCTTGTATCAGGGTTTTGGGGAGGCATTTTGGGTGTCAGCTGGAACAATGGAGAACAAGCAGAATCACTTAGGATATGATCGTGACTGCATGGCTGCAGGACATTTTTTTCTGTCTGAACAGGCATCGGTTTGCATCATTAAAGGAGTAGCAAGATCCGGGGCCAAGAAGAAGCAAACAAACCTTTCCCAACCTGGGGTCCTGCAGATCTGTTGGACTACAATTCCTATATGCCCCTGCCAGCGAGCCAAGGCTGCTTTAGCAGACCTTTTCTTTGCTGAGGTTGGAAAGAGCCAGAGGAGTGATGGTCAGAGGAAATGGATGCGTGAAAAAGAGGGCCTGAAAGACAGGACTGGGCACGGTGAAATGGCGGAAAGGAGAGCCTTCACCTCTTGCTTTCACCCTCCTGCCGAAACAGATCTTACTGCGCCAGAACAAGGCTGTGAGCAAAACCGGGTCGTCGTCCTTTCCTCCCTCCCACAAAGGCGTCTGTTACTTCTTGAAGACGATCTTGTAAATCCACTCCTGAAAGTTGGCGACAGCGGTGTAGACGCCCGGATACTTGGGGCTGGCACAGCTGTGACCCCAGGAGACGATTCCGAACACACGTCCTTCGCACACCAGCGGCCCCCCAGAATCGCCCTGGCCGGTGCGGGGAGGCAGGGAGAGAGAAGAACAAGAAACAAACAGCTGCACGGAGTGATCCTAACTCGTGTCGAAGCAGCTGCAGACCCTTATGCTTCCAAGGCAGGTCCCAGGGCTGGTGCTTCCGCTGCACGACAAGGACACGGCTGCGAGCCGGTTCCCACACAGCGAGGGAAGCCAGGGCTGCCCCAGGACACAGAGGGAACGGCCGCCTGCTGGAGCCCTTCTCCAATTGGCACAGACGGCGAAATGTGGAAGAGGGATAGTGGGAGAAGATCTGTTTTTTCAGATCTTTCTTCCTCCAAAAGTTCAGAATATAAGCAGTGGGTTTATACAGAGTCGAGCCATTGTTGTTGCTACTGATCTATATTGTGCCTCTTCCCAGTACTGGGACTCAAGGAGGGTCACAACTTTGAACAGGCATACCATTGGAACATAAATAGAAAGAAGCAAGACTCAGAATATAATTAGCAGAATTCTAAAATTCCTGGAAAGGGCGGGCATCATTTCTGGGATTTGTGCATGCAAAGAACGGACTCTGTTATGGTCCTCATACAACCTGGAAGCAGCCTCAGGCCAGCCCAGAGCAGAGTTGTCCAGAGCAGCCTTCGGTAAACTGGCGGCCTCCGGCTCCCATCAGCCCCAGCCAGCATGGCTAGGAGTCCAGAATGCTGGGAATCCCAGCTTCGGGACAGGGATGCAGAGGAGGCACAGCAGGGCGGGAATGCTTCCGGATGGTCAGTGGAGCCCGACAGTTTGCGCGTTTGTTGAGGAGGATGTTAGCGTGCCAAAGCTTGTGCCACGTGATGCATGCCGGGCCCAGTCCTGCGCTCGGGGATGCTGTCTGGCCAGCCACGGGAAAGGGCGCAGTCCCCACAGCCCTCCTGGAAAAGTCTTTGCCAGCCACCCCCCAGCTCTTTCCTGGCTCTTTCCGTGCTGCCGGTCTCACCAAGATGACGGACTGCTGCAGGACAGGCACTGGGGGGGTGTCTTGGGGGGCGGGGGCGGCAGGGGAAGGGGCCACTCCCACCCAATCCAGGCCGAGCCACAGCCCTTCCTCCTCGAGAGAAGTGGGGAAATATTTGGATGGTTGAGACTGGCCACCCGAGCGCGCAGGAGGATGAGGCCAGTGGCCCGTGCGGAAGCGACCCTACCCGCCCCCAGCCATGCTTGACTGGATGCCTTCGCGTTGGATGGCTAAGGAAGCCCGATCAGAGGAGCCTTATTTGGCCCCGAGGTGCCCCAAGACCCCCAAGTCCTTGGGGGTAGGAAGGAGGTGCCTGTCCCTTTACCGGTGAGGTGGATAATTTTAACTTGAGGGCCAAGGCCTGCTCTTCGGGGTTGTGTTGATGGCATCACTCCGGTGGTTGGGGTGCTGGGCTAGGGAGATCCAGGTTCAAGTCCCCATTCGGCCCCGGAGCTCCCTGGATGACTTTGGGCCAGTCATGGACTCTCAGCCCAGCCTCCCTCACAGGGTGGGTGTTGTGAGGATAACAGGAGCTGTGGAAGCCACCTTGGGTTCCTCTCCAGAAAAGGTGGGATTTAAATGTAAGTCAACCACAGATCTTGTGGCAGCTTTTGCTTGGGTTTCCCTCCTTTCTGAGAGATCCAGGTGCCTCTCCGAAGGGCTTCCCTGGCAGTGCCCACTTAAGGTATCCCATCTGGTTCCCCTTTAAGTGAATTTAACTCTTTCATTCTGACCTAAATCTCGGAGCAGCACCAGGCCAGGCATCTAGCTAGCCGCCATGTTAATTCCCACAATGCCCCTCACGGGGTGTTGCTCCAGGGCAGTGTGGGAAAATAAAATGACGGGTAGGCAGCCTGGCACTGTTTGGGGCATGCGATGCATGACGAAAACATGGGTCTGCCAGAGCTTTCTTTTTGCAGAGCCCCTCACCAAACCACAAACCATCCCTAGAAAAAGGCAACAGAATGACATTCCGCTGGCAGAAAACAGCTGCGGGGCTAAAACTGACCCCGAGAAACCAAGAGGAGGGCGCATACCTGACAGGCGTCTTTCCCACCAGTGTGGAAGCCCGCGCAGATCATGTTCTTGGTGATGTACCCGGCGTACGAGGAGGAGCTGTTGCACCTCCAGGTGGAGATGATGGGGAGATGCACGGAGCGCAGGGTGTCCGACATCCTCCTCCCGGTGGGGGTGGTATAGCCCCAGCCAGACACGTGGCAGAAATGGCCGTCCCGCATGGCCGTGCCTTGCCGGGGGAGGAGCACGATGGAGACGAACGGGCTGTACACCAGGGGCCTGTTCAGCTGACCAAGAGATGGGGGAGGGGGGGTCACGCTTTTATCTCTTAAATTCTGGGGTGTAGGATTCGAAGAGCACAAGAAAAGGTCCCGGCGTGCTGAGTCCTGCATCGTGTTTTATCCATGGCCCATGGGAAACCCACACCCTCTTGCCCATGTTCCCCAGCAACCGGTGCACATGGGCTTCTTGCCTCTGGTCCTGCAGGGAGCAAATAGCCAGTCACAGACTCTCAGCCCAACCTACCTCACAGGGTTGTTGTTGTGGGGATAAGATGGAGGAAGAGATGTAAGCTGCCTTGAGCCCTTTGTAGGAAAAAGGCAGGATATAAATTGAAAAATGAATAAATAAAATAAAATAAATTCTGACCAGTAGCCCTGGGCAGCTTTACGCCCCATGAATCGGTCTGCTCCTCCTCTAACGCCCAGGTGGGCATCCATTGCTACATCTTAGAGAAGTTTAATTCTATATTTCAACCATGTGCTGAACCTTTATCTTCCCTGAATCTCCCACCCATCTCCCCTTGGGTTCTAGTATTCCTGGGAGAATGTCTCCCTTTCCTCCTCCCCATGCATAGAAACAGAGCGAGTCAGAAGGGGTCTCCCGGGCCATCTAGTCTGACCCCCGGCTCCAGCCGGCTCCGCTCACGACATGCCCACCATGCGCATAATTCTGTGTGCTTTGGTCCTGTCTCCCCGACTCGCTTTTGCTAAGCTAGAGGTTGGAACGTTTCCTCACCAGGGACTTGTGGTAGCCCTTCAGTCATTTCACTTGTCCAGTTCTGGCCTTTTTGCAATTCTATATCCTTTTCTAATGTAGGGAAACATGGAATGCCACATATGTTTGGGCGGGGGGGGGGGGAATCACACCACGGAGCTGGACGTAGGCCATAACACTCCCCAGAGAGGTGGCCTGGAGCTGATGCTTTTCGGCGTCGGGTAAATCATTTCTATTTTCCCATTATTTTAAGGTTTACGAATAGTTTTTGCTAACTGGGGCTTTTATCTTGGTTTGCTGAATGCTGTGTTTGTTTTGCTATTTTATTGTTCCTTATTGTAAGCCGTCCTGAGACGTCAGTGGTGGACGGGGTACAAAGGTTTTAAATAAATACAAAACATGTTGCCAGATTTGCTTTCAGTTCCTTTTTGAGTTCTTGGAACTTGGAATTTGCCTCCTGGTTTGTTTGTTTTTTTTTATAACAACAATTGCCCACCAAGCCAACACATGCATGATGGGTAAACTTCCAGAACTGCCTGTGGTTTTTTTAGTAGACTTGCAAGACCCATCAGTCGAACTGGTGCAAAAGACTTTCAGTGAGAGCGAAGGAGGTCTGAGCTGAGGCATTCATTCGGCCATCAGAAATGTTCCAGGCCGTTGTGCGGCACCTGCCTCCAGCTGGCGACAGCCACTGGGTCATAATTCTAAGAAATGCACTTTCACAATAGAGAAAGGGGAAAACAAGTCCGTCTTGCCTGAGGCTACGCCACAGGTTGTCTTGCAAGCAGCTGCAGACCTGGGATCGTGAATGCCAAGCGCCTCCTCCCTCTCGCCTTCACTCTCGCTGGCTAGGTGGCCTTGCACCTTCAGAAGGACTCGGGGAGAACTCGTGGCATTCATGCCTACCTGGTTCCACATTTGCACCTCCCATTTTGGGTAGCACATGTACATTGCAAAGTGTGTGTAAACTGTTTTGACACTTTTGTATATCAGAATGGTATACTGTTTTAAATGCAATTATTGGGATTTTACGTATGTTGTGTTTTAGTGTATCTGTATCTTTACTGTAGTTCTTTTTTGTGTTTTGAGAAATTGTGAATTGCCCAGAGAACTCTGGCTATTAGTAATAATAATAATTTTATTTTTATACTGCCTATCATCATCATCAACAACGTCTCCAGATTCTGCAACATGGGGGGTTCAGCTGCTGCAGTCCCCTTTTCCCTCCTGGTTGAGGTCGGAATCCAGTCTCATGCCTTCTGGAGGTCTGAGGGTCCTGGGCTCAGCCCTTACAACACCTCACAGTCCTTGCCCCAGACATTCCTCTGGTCAGCTCAGGACTCCCCAAGTCACCACCCAGAGAGCATCAGAAGTTGGGAAGTCCTCAAACAGATGTGAAAAAGGTGCAGGAATTTCATGCAGAAGTTAACTCCCTAAAAATAAATCCAAGGTTTGGGACACATTGAACTCAGCACTGCAAAGATTCTGGAAGCCCCTCACCTTGATGAGCATAATGTCTGCGTTCTTCGAGGTGGCCTGGTAGTCTGGGTGGACCACCATGCGGGCTGGCTGGAAAACCTGCTCCGTGCCTTCAAACATGGAAAGCGAATATTCTCCAGCCACAATCAGCATTTGATTGATTCTGAAAAATGAGCCAAAGGGACAACGTGGGACACTTTTGACGGAGCAGATTTGGCCATTGCAAAACCTTCTTTCTTCATGGCTGCCAGCAAAACCTCAATTTGCACAGTTGCTTGCAGATCTTGCTGAACATCTGTCCCAATTTCGAATCTAGGCAACTTCCCCTCACCGGTGCGTCCACTCCAGCCAGCTCCCCACAGCCTGTTTGTTCCAAGAGGCCCGATCCACCACGCCGCCCTTCCTTACCGGGTTTTGCAGTGCGCCGCAGTCAGGACCCAGCTCCGGCTGACCAGTGTCCCCGCACAGAAATGGTACCCCGTTTTCCTCTTCAGAGACACCAGGTACGTGGAAGAGTGGGGTGGAACCACATAGCCGCCCACGATGCGTGGGGGGTCACTCCCCCCATCTGCCGCCAAGCAGAGATAAGAAAGCACGGTCAGAGACACGGAGGGGGCCCGGTTCCACCTCCACCCAAGGGTGACTTCTCCCCCTTTGCACAAGGAGGCCAGAATCGTTCTGCGTAAGTCAGGGAAGCCACCCAGAATCTTCTGCTCTGCTTCAGCAGCCGGTGTAGGACTGAGGACCTGAGAGATCCGGGTTCTAGTCCCCCTCTAGAAGTGAACTGGCTGATTTTGGGCTGGTCAGAGAATCTCAGCCCAGCCTACCTTACAGGGTTGTTGTTGTGAGGATAAGATTGCTGCCTTAAGTACCTTGAAAGGAAAAAAGGCAGCACAGAAACCAAATACACGCACACACACATACATACTAAGCATTTCCCTGACAACCAGAATTCTAACTCTGCTTGTTTCTGTTGTTAGTGCAACACTCTTCTCTTGGATGACAAAGCGAAACCGGCTGGTCAGCTGTAACATAACACAGCAGTTTGGCTGGAAAGCCTTTGTCCTGGCCTGCCTGGAAGGAGGAGGAGAACAGCCAAAAAGTTAGCCATGCAATCTGCTACCACAGAATGTACTGACGGGCAGCAAGCTGGATGGCTTTAACAGGGGCATTAGAGGAATTCAGCCAGGGAGTCAGGATTTCAGTCCTGCATGTCTGGATGCAAAGGGAGCAACTCTCAAGCATTCAGCAATTTATTAACAGCAAACAGAACATTCCTAAATGCAACAGCACTGAAGGGTAGCCAGGAAAAACCAACTACAAAGAAGCAGAGCATACGCAGAGTATTTTATGGAGCTGGTGTCGGGTGGGGGAAGGAGGCTTTGGGCGGGTGATATGCGCTGAAGGACGATAAAGAAACATCAGGAAATCATCAGGAAACAGCAGGAAAGCATCATGATGCCCTGAGAGCTTGAGTGACAGATAAAAAATAAAACAATCAGAAGTTGCAGAACTGACCAGGTTTCGATGCCTGCTTTTTACAGTCTGAGGTAGGAAATCCCATAAAGACAAAGAGTGAGCTGGCCCAGTATTTGAAGAGCAATTGGAGGAGCAGCTGGCGGCCATTTGCAGTCTGGGGCAAGATTGCTTTGCAAGAGTATCTGTTCACCGAAGCTCAACCAGTGGCATGTGCCACACTCCAGGCAGTCTCCTTTTCCTGTGGAAGGAACCACAATGGAAAAACCCTGGAGATTTGGGGAGGGAGGTGAAGGGAGGGAGGTAAAGCTTTCCAAATTCCAAACTATAAAATGGTAACTTTCAGTGGACAACTCCAAGGCTATTGGTTGCTCCTAGTTCTGTTGGCTCCGTGCGTCCTCTGGTTTCCGAGACAGCATTCCTGTGTGCACCTCTTCAAGGATATATCATTCCACAACTGCCCCTCTTTCTGGGGAACATGGGCAGGGGAGTGCTCTTGCATTAGCCTGTGTGTAGGATCCTCTAGGCAGCTGGTCAGCTACTGTGTGGACAGAAGGCTAGAGAAGGCAGACCTTGGGCCTGATCCACCATGAGTTCCTGTTAGAGAGGGCGGGCCTTACTGCATTTATTTATCCTTCGTTATAACTTGTTTGGACCCTTAATATGCTCTTCATGGGGCTGTCTTGGCAAGCTTGGAAGCTTCAACTGGTGCAGCTCAAGGCTAGCCAACTGGAGCATGGAATATCAATTCTCTGCTTGTGTCGTGCATGAAGCCCTGACGAGACAGTGACTCACGAGGAGGTCTTGTGTGTGACACCCTGTGCCCAGAAGCCAACCCCACAACCCAGCCTGGGGGCGGATGAGCAAGCGGCTGCACCTCCCTCTGACTCCCGGCCCATTGAGCAAATGCCTGAGCCCTCATCGAAGCCAGAGTGTCCCGAGAGAGAGGAGGCTGCATGTTCTACTCGGAAGGAGGCAGGGCAAACCGCTCCTTCCCCTCTGATGCTGATCCTCCTGAGCATGAAACAGAGGACACGGTGGGCGTGGTGGATTTCTCTCGAGCAACCAATCGCCGAATTCTACGCAGCGATGAACAGCGACAGAATTTGCTATGTAGGAGACAGGAAAGGCGTGACTTAGAAGAGTAATCCCACATGGGCTCAGGGAGAGAAGCCATTAGAGGGTTAACTTCTGCATACCAAGGGCCTCAATTGGAGAGCTTATCTATAGAGTTGTAAATCTTGTAGACAATTAACATTAAAGGACTGTAGTTGTATTGCTGTGGATTGTTTATGTGCCCGGGTGCGGCCCACAACAGCTTGCTACTGCATCCAGCAGGTTGTTGGGTCCTAGAGACAGGGCCTTTGTGTTGGTGGCTCTGTCTGCACAGCTCCCTGTCTTCGAAAGTGCTTCTAACTTCCTCAATGACAGCTCTGAAGTGGGATCAAGGCCAAGCTGTGTGAGTCTGCTCCGGGATGCTTTAAACCGGGCATCCTGGCATAGAAGAGAGTTTATGGCCGTGACCAATTCATCGCTGATGTTGAAAGGTCTGTTTGTTGATGTTACTGATACATCATTTTTGTAATTCTTTATGTTTTTAATTTTGAAAACCATCTTGAGAGAAAGGAGGCATATACATCTATTCAACAGACAGAGAATTTATAAGTTAGAACACTGCTAAATCCAGAATCAAATTATTCACTCATAATAATAATAATAATAATACCCAATTATTTTGTTGGGTACCACTCTACAAACCAGCACTGATTCTTCAAGGATTCTTCCCACCGTTGCCGGAAATGACTTCCTTAACTCCGTTTCTTACAAAAAATCCAAACAACATTTTTAAAACATCCGCTTGCTTTATTCCAGGGTTTGCTGTCTTGTCTTCTGGTCTTTTCTCAGACCTAATTTATACCAATTCCTCGTCATCCCTTAAGATCCGCTTCCATGCTACCAGGGTGGATCCCCACTTATCTCCCTGATAACTGGCCCTTTTGTCAGTCATAAACTCCTCCACACTCCCAGCCAGAACTGGCCCTTTAGATTAGTTCTTCCCTGTTATGCACCAGTTTTAAAAAGAGCAAGGGGACTGCAATTATTGCTATGTCTTATCTCCCATCCCCAGAATGTTTTGCCATTAAAGACTGGCGTTTTTAGATTGACTGGCTTCACGGAGTGCATGGCAGAACTGCTTATTCCAGCAGATCTTTCCCGCTGAGAACATTTTATGACCAAATTCTTATTGCTGAGTTTTATTACAGTTCATGATGAGCTGTATTTATTTGGTTAAACATTTTATTCTGGTTTTTATTATTTCCCCATTTCTTCTGCTGTTGTGCCTCGTTTAAAAAGCACTCTGCAACTCTGGGATCAGGATCCAATAATCCCCAGTGAAATCATCGTTTTAGAACAAAACAGTGGGACGCATTTAACAATTATTTCAGTCTATGATGGGATGATTGAATTAAAGGTAGCAGTCAGCAAATCTTAGCTCCTTGAACTACCAGCTGGAAGTTCCACTGATAGAAACCAGGCATGAATCCGAGAGTTAGAAACATAGAAACAGAGTGAGTCAGAAGGGGTCTCCCGGGCCATCTAGTCTGGCCCCTGGCTTCAGCTGGCTCCGCTCACGTCATGCCCACCACGTGCACGTCCAGACTGTCCTTGGACACCCTCACCGATGGGGCCTCAACGACCTCCCGGGGAAGCCCATTCCACACCCTCGGGGTCCTGACTGTCAGGAAGTGCTTCCTGGCATCCAAATGGAACCTTGGCTCCCTGAGCTTTGCTCCATTCGAGCACGTCCTGCCTTCCTCTGCAGGGGAGAACAGGTCTCTACCCATCTCCATGTGACAGTTGTGCCAACTCAGCCATGGATGAGGCCTGCAAGGCCCGAGGACAGATCCTTTGCCTCAAGCAGAACAAGAAAAAATGCCAGGGACAAAAATAAAGGCCAGTCTGCCCATCACATCGAATCAAGGAATTGCGGAGCGCAACCTGGGGACGTTGAACAGATCCACAACGGATTCAAATGAGCCCAGATGTGTGTGAAGCTGGGCTGTGGGTTTTGCACTGGACTACCTTTTCCCAAGTATGTGGATTCTGCACAGGTGCACTGTCCCCCCCCCCCCCGGTGCCGGCGCCCTTTTTCCTTTTTTGGAGAGGGCTTTTGCAAATGCGAATTGCAGAAATGTATAGCAACATAGTACTTGTGCTCATGTCCACTGATGCACTAGGCTCCACGGTCTTCTGCACATGTGAACACACGGCATCCCTCTCCAGTGTTGTCTGCAGCAGCCCCGAAGCACAGCCGAGGTTCTGTGAGTGTCTGAGGATTTCCTCTCAGCTCAACTCACTTTCTAGGACATGTCCAAGCTTAAGAGGAAGTCCACAAACACTAGAGGACTGGATTCCATGGAGCTTTGCTGCAAGACTACTTGTAGGACTTAAGTTGCTAGTCCCCACTAGAGATGTGGAGGAATATAGAATCATAGAACAGTCTGGAAGGGGCCATGAAGGCCATTGAGTCCACCCCCCTGCTGTTGCAGGACCCCAAGTCACACCATCCCACTCAGAGGGCTGTCCAGGTTCTTCTGAACATCTCTAATGTTTTGAGACTGGGAATCCATCGGGTTTCCTGGACTCGGTCCACTGGACCGAGCCCTGAGCCCATGCCTGGTGGGGCACTCAGCAGGACGTGGACCCTACACATCGCCGAAGCAGCTTTCCTCCTCTGTGCTGGGCAGCATGAAAGAGGCAAACTGCTTGCGTCATGATCTCCTGGGGCTTCAGAAGCTCGCTGTAAGTCGAAAACAACTTCAGTGCACATAACAACAACAACAGCATACCTCTTACGGCTTAGTTGAAGGACCTGTTTTAAATGCTACAGCTGTTTGCCAAGAACACACACTTATGTCTGTGGATGGGTAAAGTATGTTTGCCTCACCTTTTCAACATGGCTGAGGAGGATCAGCAGTCCAAACTGCGGGGATTTAGGGCCAGTGTTTCCAGCAGAGTAACATGGAAAAAGTCAGCTTCTTTTTCTTTCTGGAAACAGCACGTTTCTAGCCTGTATGAATGCAAAGCCAGGCTCCTGTGCCTTGGGAAAGCAAAGAGGAAAGCAAGGACTCCACTGCTTTCAGCTGCCTCACCCCATAAATAGCAGAATCATCTGGGGTTAAATCCCTAAGTGCGATTACAAGCGCAGGGAACAGAAGCCCCTGGTCACGTGGGACTAACTCTCCCGTGAGCATGCTTAGCAAGGCTCTGTGCACATGCCCGTCATCTGCAGCCCATACCTGCAAAATCCCGCTTTCCTCCGCAGAGCATCGGGGCCACCGCTCTGCTCATGCACCTTTAATCCACACAAGCTGTGCACAGAAGTTCTCCTGACATTTCCCAGCCTGGATGTGGGCAAAGGAACTGCAGAGAAGGGGTTCCAGTTCCCCAGACAGACTTCTCCAGCAGGAGTAGAAATTTTGCAACTGTTCTGCTCTCCGCCAGCATTCGCAGACATCTTGCCTTTTCCCTAAGCCTTGGCACCGTTTAGAGCATCTTGCTGTTACTGAGAAGCACTGAAGCCATTCCTGAGGTGAGCAGGTAGTGCAAGAGCCTATTTTTCACCCACATTCACACCTTGCGCACGCCGTGTGCGTGTGGGGAGGGGCACAAACTGGAGCGCTCCAGTACAAAAGTCTGAAAAGCACAATTTCGGAGGATAACTGCATGTTGGTTCCAAAGCAGCACATTAGGTGAGTCGGGATTGTCAGATCCTGCACAAAATAGGCCAAATAGATGGAAGTAAAGCAAAGCAGCGGCACTGTTTAAGAATGGAGGGACAGCAAGGCAATTGACAAATCACGGCGTGTGTAAGGCAGAACACCTTGGAACTCCCAGTACTAAATTCACTTTTATAGCTTCACCTCCTCACCTGCCGACTTTCTCATAGGCCTCTCCCTTCCCAAGGCTGGGAGCTTCCTCCCTCCTTTCACACCTTAGCAAGGAGGACCCTTTCAAGATGCAGCTCAAGCACGCTTCCCTGGAACCATCTCTTCTTGTCCTCTGTTATCTAGGAGCATTTCTCCTGCAGCTACACACACACACATACACACACACGTTTTCTCTTTAATTCTGCATTTGTCAGAATGGAGCAGATACGGTCTTCTCCAGCTGTAGGAAAATGCAACCCAAATTACCTTCTCTCCATCGTCAGCCAGCACTCCAGGTGACCGCTGCTATTCACTTTTGGGCTGGATGCAGGACCTCTCCTTTGAGTTAGTATTCCTGATTTTTACATCTTTGCAGATGAAAGCAAGGACGCTATGGAGGGTCCCCCCACCCTTTCATCCCTGAAAACAATCCTTAAACACTCCTGGGCAGGGATCATGGGAAACAACGGGTGAGCTGGCCTCTAGGTCCATTTAAACTGATCCTGTACTCAATAGCCATTCTAAGTCATTGATTATTCATGTATCCATAATCATGATTTCTCCAGGGGAAGAACTTAATTGCTTTTCAGGAGGATTTGAGCTACTTGCATCCAGAGTAAGGGAAAACTGGGCAGGGGAGAGGGAAAAGACCCAAGACAGGTGGGCACACTTATCCATGTCCACACCACTATAGCCTGAGCGCCTGATCCCGGCTAATCTTGGAAGCTAAGCAGGGTCAGCCCTGGTCAGAATCAGGATGGGAGACTCGTGTCCTACACGGAGCAGGGGGTTGGACCCGGGGCCCTTCCAGGCCCCTTCCAACTGTGTGATATTACGATTCGGTGCTAAGCTGAGGCCCCTCTGTGTTTGCAATCATTCCTTCCAGGCCTCGCAACTTCACTGCCTCAGTTCTGACTGCAAGCAACAAAGGGCTGCAGGCCCTGATAAAAGGGTCTCGCCTGATGAAGAATAAAGAGACGGCACCAGACAAACCTCGCTGGGGAGCATGTTCCAAAGTTGGGGCGCCACCACTGAAAGGCCCTTCTCCAGGTTGCTGCCCTCCCGATTTCCTTCAAAGGGGGCTTCCATGACGGTATCCCACTACCCGTATGTCCCTCCTTTTCTCCTTTGGCAAGGAACTCAGGGTGGCGCCCACAGCCCTCCTTTATTCCATTTTATCCTCACAACAACAGTCTTGCAAGGTAGGATAGGCGGAGAATGTATGACTGGCCCAAGGTCCCCCAGTGAGCTCCGTGGCTGAGAAGGCCACCGATCAGCACTCGAACCGCCGAGCCACCCTAAATCCAGTTCGCCAGGAAGGTTCTGCCCCTCAGCCCCCTCCACCAAGGCTGCAAGCAAAGCCCCCGGCCCGGGTCTCTGGTCTTGTGGAGCAGCGATGCGCAAGCCATGCAGGCAAACCGTGCACCGGGCGAGGCGCCTGCCGGCCGAACAATTCTCCCCTCTTTCCCTAGAGCACCAAGGAGCCCCGGGCTGGCCCTGGCGAGCACAGCGCTGCGGAAGGAGTCTGACTTGGCATCCGAAATGGCGGCAGGGACCTGAGCCCAAGGACCGAGGAAGCTCTCTCCAGCCTGCACAGGGCGGGCTCTGCCAACGAGTCACGGCCTTTCACGCAGGGGAATCTTAGATCATGGGATGGATCGCAGCAGGAGGGGTGGGGACCCTGCTCTCTGTCCCACCTGGATCCTGTCCTACCCCCTGGGGGACCCCGGGGGGCTGCAGCCCCTCCCCTCGGCTCAGCCCCCTTTCCTCCAGCCGGTATCTCGAGGGGGCTGCCTGGCTTTTGTGCCATCATCACCCACACCTTAAAGTTGAAAAGCCCTTCTAAAGGTGAATGACTGGCAGAGGGTCCTGCGACTGGATGCTGATCGGGCTCCGCCTCTTTGCTTCCCGCCCCGCCCACTCCTGGGACCGGCCCTCTTAAAGGGGCCCTGCCATGGCGTTTGGCCCCTGGGCAGAAGGCGCTGCCCACCCCCCCCCCCGTGCCCACGCAGGAGCGCCCTTCCGTCCCTCCCCCAGAACATGCACGTGCAGGTGCACGGGGGGGAGGGCTCCTACTTCTGGCCCCACGGCAGTCCCCCATCCTCCATTTCCAACTGATGCCCGGCATGATTTGGCTCATGACCACTCACCATGCCAATCATCACCATCACCATCATCTAATATTAGAATAATAATAAGCTCTTAATATTAGAATCCTAACATCATTATGCTGTTCCATGGATTGTCATAAACCACCCAGAGAGCTTTGGCTGTGGAGCAGAGCAGAAATGAAATGCATACACACAAAGAGCTATTCTGCTGGCTTCTGGGTGGGATAAGTGTCTTTCCCCCGCAAGGCTCTTTTTAGGATGCCTTTTCTACTTCTGCCAACGTCAGTGCTTGTTATGCTTCTTGCCACCGCTTGGGCTGCCCATCCTTGGCCCAGGCCATCTGAGCCCGGCTGAGCCTGGTCCGAATGGGGCCATCTAGCCCAGCATGCTGTTTCTCAAGGCAGCCAAGCAGGTGCGCCAGGGCAGCCCCAGGCGTGGCAGGGCAAGGGGCCGCAATGCAGAACTGCTTCCACCCAGAGCATGGCATGGACCTCGGCCACGCTCCAGGGCTGCTCCCCTGTGGAGTCGGAGGCGGCTGGCCGAGGCTGGAGGAGGCTGACCTACTTTTACTGGGACGACACGCTGAGAAAACAACCCATGGCTATAAAGCCATCGACGCAACGGTGGGTCTTCCAATCGCATCACTGAGATGTTGGTGTTCCCATACCTGGCCACACCTGTAGGCGTTCATCACTGGTGAAGGAGAATCCTGTTCCCATGTCACCCCTGAAGGCATGCTCGGCTTTTGAACTTCTCTGCACAGCTGTACCTATAAAAAGAGTCTCGGCACTTACTGGGTCTCCGAGTTGTTGATTTCTCCTTCTCTTTTACAGATTTTCAGTAAGGATTAGAGGATTTCTGCTGTTACATCCTTCTCCTTTATTCTTTCTCTGGCTTGCTGTGGCTTTTGTTCCCTTCCCGAATTCTGCTTTCCCGGGAGGCTTTCTAAAGCTACTGCTAGAATAAGAATGTATGCAGCTTGCTGCAGATCCCATTCTTTCTGTCCCTTTTATGTTCTGCATGGCTTGATAAAACACTGTAGAAAAGACCATCCTGATCAGACTGGATGGGAGACTGTATCGAGATCCCTTTCGTGCAGTTATATTACTGCCTCCCTGTTTCCCTTTTTTATTTAAGGATTGTTTCAATTCCTAGATGCAGAAAATATAAACCCCCTAAACTCAGCCCCACAGTTCCCCCCATCGACAGTAAATCAGGGGGGTTTTAGAAGCCAGGATTTACACCAGCCTTTTCCAGATGTGCCCACCAGATGTGCAGGGCGCAGTCCTGCACTTCCTGAGCAGCACGGTGCTGTGGAGAAACGAAGAAACGGGCATTGCAAAAGATTTGGTTTTTCTATTTCCTTCCGCTGTGTTTGATCTGCATGCACAGTGGCACCAACACGCCTATGAAACACCACATGGAAAAGGATCTTAATGCTGCCATGGGAACCCTGACTATCCCAGCTGCTTTTTTTTGTGCAGAGGGTTATCAATGCAAAATATGCACCGTGTTGACTTAGAGGTTAAAAGATGCAAGCTGAGGAAGGGAAGGGAAGGGCCTGCTACAGCAAAGCACACGGAATCTGGAACTAGGAAACGGGGTGGCCGGGCAGAGTGGGCCGAGGGGAGCAGGGTGTGAGGGGCCCTCGCAAGCCCCCACCCCCCCATGTGTGCCCCCTCCAGTGCCAACGGGCAACTGCGGCAGGAGCAATACTGAGACTGGGTCCTGGGTGTCCCAGAGGAGCACTGCTTTCACCCCCAACCGGGCCCCCCGTGTTGTGTCCGCACTGCAGGAAATGAAACCGCAGGGCCCAGGCACTTCCACTGCTCCGATTTAACTGCTATGAAAAAAGGCAGAAGTCTGAGACCAGAAATTTTAGTTGCAATATAACCAGGATCCTGGAGAGGCAAAACTGCCCACAGAGCTTTGGCGACCGGGCGGACAGAAACAAAATTAATCCATTACTAACGGAGTAATAACCCTGGACAAATGAACAACAATGGCTTCCCAGAGACGGGGATCAGGAGTCCTGGTTGAAGCCAAGTAAACAGGTTCAGCAATGCAAAATTGGAGGAATAGAGGCATCTAGACCAAGCGTGACCAGTTGTCCATATTCGAAATGCACCTGCTTCGGAGAAGAACACTTTAAGCGTGAAAGACGCCCATTTGCCTGGGTCTGACTCACCCATCAGTGGGAAGAGCTGAAGAAAGAGAAGGAGCTGCAGGCTGCAGGACTTCATCTTGCGTTTCCCTCAGTCCCCTGAAGCACCTGCTGGAAGGGAACAGCTCTCCTTGGGACAGGAACTGCCTGACTCATCCTTTTGCCCTCCTGTGAGGCATCCTGGTTCTTCTTTCAGTTGCTATGGCAATCCTCATCCCAGCAAGAACAGTCGGTTATTCACCAAAGAGGTTCTGGAGCTCACCCAGCGCCTGACTGACTCCTGTGCCCCTGGTGTTCTCAGCTGCTTCTCCACCCCACCGCCTCCTCTCGTGTCAGGATGGGACAAGGGGCACAACCGCTGCCTTTCGCAAGCTCCGGTGGTTCTCAGGTTCCTTGGCAGTCCCGTGGGGCGATGACACAAGATGCGTATCCCCAAAGGACCCTGGACCTGGTGCGTGGCCTCTCCCCTCCAGCAGTGGGCTGCTGGAAGAGACTGCTCACGATGCAAAAGGAAGGCAGCTCATGCGGCTACGCCACTGGATCCACGAAGTCCACCCTCGTGTTTGTGAGGCGGAGCCCCCACTCCGCAGGCAGAAGTTTCCCGGCATCTCCAGCCAGACAAGCGTCAGGGACGGGGAGGGACAGCTGTGGCCAGTGGAAGAACTGGGCTTGGGCTGACTCCAGAGCAAGGAGCTGGTCGCAAAGCCGGTTGCAATGGGGAAAACAGCCGTGAGCAGGGCTTTTTTCTCTTGGCCCCCTGCAGGATGGGGCCACTGGCACAGGCCCAAGGGTGTCTGTCCCGTCCAGACCCTGGAGCAAACGACTGGCAACCCCTTGGGCTGCCAGAAGGAAGTTCATTGAAAATTCCCCTCACTTCACACAGCCTTGAGCACTAACGGCCTTGGCAAACCTCTTGAAACCTCCCCAAGATGGAATTGTTTCCTGTTTCAGTTTAATTTAGGAAGAGCCTCTTTATGGCCCTGCATAAAAGAGTGTTTGTTGGTTGCATGATCAATAAATCTCTCCACAGACAAGCAAACCAAATCATAGCTAACCAGAAAATGTCTGATAATTCATATTCTGCTTGATTTAGAGGTGTGTGGCAGAAAGAGAGGGGGAGGGAGGGAGAAGGGAGCTGGGATGGATCTATCTGCAATGCAATCGTAGTCTGTATCTGTCACATTGATTGGGTGTAAGAAGGATGGATTCCCTTGGCTACACGGCCTCTTTTCAAGAGGAGTATCCTTAGGGTAGAAGGCAGATTGAGGGAGGCTAAAATAGCAGGTTGGGAAGGAAATTACATGGTTGTCACAATGCCAGGAATGATGGAATCTGGGAGATAAGACCAAGAGAAGCTACTCCTGCAGAGCTCCTGCTTGCTTCTGGAAGCCTGGTGCTTCTTGTCTATTTCACTTCGTTTTACAGTAGGAGCCAGCTTCATTCTTTCATGGCTGAAGGGGGAAATCTGCAAAATTAACGAACCGTCGCTCAAGGGCCTTTGCTGAACCTGAGCTGCTACGCAGCACAGCTTTCCACGTGTGCTCGGAGCAAGGGGCCCCTCAGAGCTCGTGCGGAACAACCCAGAACATCCTGCCTTGTAGCAGGCTTTATAATTGCCTTTATTTATTGTTTGTAAGCCGCCCCGAGGCTTCGGCGAATGGGGCGGCATAAAAATGTTTTAATAAATAAAAATAAATAAATAAAACTCAGAAAGCCCAGCTTGGAAGCTGCTCTTCATGGACAAAAGCACTTTTGTGGCTGCAGGTGACAAATCCCATCTGAACGTACTCGACCCAGAGGTCCTTCTCAAGCAGCCATTCCCCCAAGAGGTGAGGGGGTGGCAGGTAGAAGAGGGGCTTGCTGCAGTTCGCACCCCACCTATGGAATAAGCTTCCCAGAGACGTATGCCTGGCACCCTCATTCCACTGGAGAGCCAGTGTGGTGCAGTGATTCAGAGCGTGGGACTGGGACTCAGGGGATCCGGGTTCGAGTCCTTGCTCAGCCAGGGAGCCACCTGGGTGACTTTGGGCCAGTCACAGGCTCTCAGCCCAACCTACCTCACAGGGTTGCTGTTGTGGGGATAAGATGGAGGAGGAGAATGATGCAAGCTGCCTTGAGCCCTTTGTAGGAAAAAGGCAGGATATAAATTGAAAAATAAATAAATAATAAATTATTATCATTCCAATGCCAGGCAAAGACATTCCTATTCTCCAGGTTTTTAAAGTTTAAGTAGTATTTTAATATTACTTAGTAATAGTAATATTTTAAATATTGTAAGCTGCCCAGAGACTCCATTAGAACCAGGGGGCAGCATATAAATGCATGCATAAATAAATACATACAATATTGAATTGATTTTATATTATTAGGAATTTTTATGATTCTATTAATACTGTGCCTGAACAATTTTAAATCTACATGGTTGCTGTAACTGTATTATTATATGTATTTTATCTGATTTTATGGTTGATTTTATTATTGCATTGTACACTTCTCAAGGGCTTGGGGAGCGCTTTATAAATCTTTTTGAAAATCAGTTCAATAAATGAGCTGTAAAACCAGGGGTTTTCTTTTCCCGATGGAAAATCAAGGTCCTGTATAAAGGCTTTTGCCCAGGCAGGGTAGGGTCCCTCGCCATGTTTGCAAGGGTTGGACCGTGACTCCTCAAAGCAACAGAGTCACAAAACAAAGCGCTTTTTCTTTTCAGAGTAGGCACCGAGCACAGACAAATGGAGAGATTGGTGGGAGGGGTGGAGAGGAAATGCAGGTACAGATTGTCTCCGTGAGCAGAGCTCGGCTGCATTTCTCCGATTTCTCTGTGGGTCCTCGGCCCAGTTTCCCTACCCAGGAGCCATCCTGCAGCTCCTCAACAAGGCAAAGAAGAGCATGTTGATTGGTGTCATGGCAGGCATCCAAACCTGGCTGGATCGTGAAGAGGATTTTTGTTCTCCTCCTCGGAGACCCAAAGAACCAGCTCTTGATCCATAATGCAGTTTCAGCCTGAGCGGCCAAACTGTGCCCCCTCCCATCCGAGCTTTTGCTCCAGCCTCCCTGGATACTCCACTTTCCCCCATATGGGAGGAACCGGTGCCTTTCTCCTGATCCTGGACCCTAGTCAAAAACCGTGCCTCCTTCAAGTGATTCTATTTTTAAAAATCTGTTCCAAGTTTGGTTTTGCATTTTGCATTGCAAACCTTTAATGACTTTTTAATACGGTGTATTTTATATTGCATTTTTAATGTGTTGCTGTGACTCTCCCAGAGGGCTTCAGCTGTTGGGTGGAATAGAAAGTACAGAGATAAATCAATAATTCCTTGAGGCTGCTGCTTGTGCCCAAGGAGAGGAAAACATTGCTTTGCTCATCTCTCCCAGGAAAGGGGTGGCATTTCATATGCAAACACTGTTACTTCCGTGGGTCCTTCTGAGTTCCTATTGTGCCATTTTAGAGAGATAAAAGAACCAGATTTAGGATGTAGGCTTACAACTCCCACAGGCAGTGCAGGAGGAGGAGAAGTTAGTTCACTGTTTTAGTCTGAACTTAAAGCCCTTTGCGCTCAGATTGGTGCAGCACTATGGATAGCGCCTCCAGGCTGCAGATTAAAATTTGGAGGGAGTAAACCACCTCACTGATATTGGAATATCCAGCCTTCCTGGAGGATCACAGTCGGCTCAAAAAGCAAACAGGGCCGTCGGAAGCATCCAAAGTCTTGAGAAGAGCAGGGCTGGTTTTCCACCCCCTTGAAGCCCCCTCTGGACAGGAGCCAAGTCAGTCTAGTCAGGAAGGCGGATCGTGCGTCGCCTTAGCCAGGGGAGAATAGCTGTGGCTGTTCAGGGGAAGCAGCGTAGCCCTTTGCCTGTTTTCTCACGGAATCTGGACGAAGAAGGCCCTCAAGCTCCGAGGCAGGTGCGGAATCAGCCCACAGGGGCCAGCCTCTTGCAACAATCACAGATTAAGGCCACTGCCCAGGACCACGCTTCCCTGGGAATGTCCTATCATGCTCAGGAGATCATACTCCTCCGTCAGACAAGTGCAGGATTGCACCACCCATGTTCCTTGGGCTAATTTTTTTAGAAGTGCATTGTGTTACTTGTAACAGTCTGTTATCATGATATCCAGATAGAGCGGGCTTCCAAACAAGGCACTCTCAGATGCTGTGGTGGATCATGCCGATGGAGATTGATACTCCAACAGATTTCGTTGCTTGGTTGTGGAAATCCAGGAGAGGCGCTTCAGCAGCTGTGCCAGCATCCGGAACAGCAGTTTGAAGCAGGGATCAAAGAGAATAATAAGATGTGTGCATGGAAGGCCATCTATTATTCCTGTGTGTACATGAGATGTACTACAGAGATAGTCCCAACTTTGGGCTAATGAACGTGATATACAAACCTAAATAAATAACAAATAAAATGAACCAGGTAAGAGTAGCACTGGGGGAAAGCCGACTGCGGCCAAGACTGCCTCAGACTGCGGTGGCGCCCCACCTCTGGAATGCGCTCCCCAGAGAGGTCCGCCTGGTGCCGTCGTTATTTGTTTTTCGGCGCCAGGCTAAGACCTTTTTATTTAAAACTTATTTTAATTGTTAACTTATTATGTATTTATAGGTTTTAAATTTTTAAGCCAAGATGTTACCGGGTTTTTAAAGTTTTACTTGTATTAATTGTAATTTATATGTTTTAATTATGTTGTGAGCCGCCCCGAGGCTTTGTTGCGATGGGGGCGGCATAGAAATGTTTTAAATAAATAAATAAAGAGTTAAGATATAAGTTGCTGGAATAGAGCAGACTGGAAATTCACATTCCCTGCATGAGGCTTCTAACCTGCCACTTTCCTGAAGCTTCGGGGCCCTTTGCAGGGTTAAGCCCGGCTCTTTTGCGCGCGTATCCCCTCCACTCCACCCCCAACGATCTGGCTTCCCCCGCTTTGCTGTCTGTTCCGCTGCACCACCACTAGGTGGTGCTGTGGGATGGTGGAATGGCGTAAATGCACCTGCCTGCCATCCTGCCCTTTCCAAACAACACCGGGCTTTCCTCCTCTGCCCGGCATGGAAAGCACCTGCCTTGAGCTGGACTCCACTCTCACCCATCCGTCCCAGGATTTCTCCAGCACCTCAGCTGCAGGCGGGTTTTTCCTGCCCCCTCCTTTCTGACCCTTCTAGTGGAGAGTTGAGGATCAACCCTGAAGTTCTCTGCTCCCGTCTCTCTAACTGCAAACGCAGGTGGGAACTGCCACCTAAAATGGACCCCGAACGGGGCTGCTGCGAGACAAGCCAAAGAAGCCAGCAGGCCGGTGCGCAAAAGAAACCTTTCTGGTTTTTGGTTTGGTTTTGTTTTGTTTTGTTTTGTTTTGCAGGGGGAGGATATGAAGGAGGCAAACCAAAATCCCAAAGCAGCTCAGTGATTACTATGTTCTTGACTGTCTGTCAGAAAATAAAAATAGGAAACAAGGTCAGGATGGAGTGCCTTCAGCTCCTTGTATCCTGGAAGCGGTGAGTGGGAGGCAAAGCTAGCTGAACAGCAGGCGGTGAGGCAATGCACTGCAAAATTTCGTTGCAGCTCCTACTTGCATGTCCTGCCAGAGCTACCGCTTAAATGCGCCCCCCGCCAAGAGCGCAGGGACCACATAAAGTGAGCTCTTAGCCTCTGGCCCCACATACACTGCCAAGCAAGAGTTTGCAGCCATGACCGGTTTTAACCCTACCATGGATGAGGTTTTACAAGGAAATTCTGCATGCAGAATTTGTGTTGGGCCCTTGAAAAGCACACGGACAAATATCTCGAATGGAAAAATAAACCAGCATAATAGCTTCTATTATTGAGAAATAGGCCAGGCAGCACAACCAGAGTGTATGCATTTATATAGGCCAAACACAAAGGAACTGTGCTCAGCGTAAGCAAACACAGAGCTTTTATCGTATTTCATCTCTACTTAATAATTTTATCATGTACCCCTTCTGCTCCCTTAGGGGCCTCTTACCAGTCTAGCAGTCTTATCTCTACGCAACCCATACACCAGGGGCAGTCAAAGTTCTTTCATGCTTCGGGTGTTCTCCTCTCACCAGCATCTTCCCAATTTGCAGCAGAGTTCCTATCTAAATTGACTTTTTAATCCCACAAGCCTCCGCACTATTTCCATATTGCTGCTTTTGGTCAAGGCTGAGACATGAAGAGAGCAGAATGTATCATCTTTCTCCAACGATCGCATCAAGTGCTCCACAGCAGAAAGCAGCTTGTGGGAGGGCTGGTCTCCAGCTGTTATCTGTGGTCCTGGGGAAAGAGACGGGGAGAGAACTGTAGCTTCTGATATGAATGCAGGAGCCCGTAGCTTCTGATATGAATGCAGGAGCGTGTGAACCAGCGGCTCAGACACGCCAGCCGGATGGGATGGGGTGTTGTGACCTCGGCAGTGCACAAAGGGCAAACTGTCCCAGTGAATACGCCGTGTTCCACTGCAGCAGTCCTCCCAGAGGGACCAACACCCAGGCACTCCCCACGGCAGGGGGTGGCAGCAGTCTGGGGCCCCCTCGGGGAGCTGGCCAGGCTCCCCCTCCCGGGAGGAGGGGGATTCGCTGCTGCAGCAGAGACTGGGAGGCCTCTGGTCCCCCAGGGCGGCGAGAGCGTCCTCAAACCGACCGACGCAAGGGCCCTGCAAAAGGAGGCGCCTCCGCAAAAAGGCGGCAGCGGAGCTCTGGGCCGAACCTCCGGCGGCAGGATCCGGCCGAGCTGGTGCTGGGAAGCACATCCTCCCCAGCCCCAGGGCCTCTGCCCTTGCGCTGGCTGCCTGGGAGCCCGCCTGGGTCCGCTTCTCGGACCGTGTCTCGCTTTGCGCTTGGCCCTCCTCGGACCGCAGTTCTGGGACGCCCCCACCGGCCCGTCGTTCATGCCGAAGCGGGGCCCTATCCAGCCGCTGCAGGGCCGAACCAGAAAGCCCCCCCCCCCCGAGCCACCCACCCCCGGCAGAGCAGCACCCGCGCCCCGCCGCTCCGGCGGTCTCGGGTTGGTCGCGGCGGCTGGGAACGACTCGCGCCTGCCACCTGGTGGCCTGTGCCTTCTTCCAATCTCTCCGGCTCTTCCATTTTTCCCTGCCGTCGAGCGACCCCCGCATGTGCTGAAGGCAGTCTGCACGCAGGCTCTCCCGTGCCGCTTCGAGCCAGGCGTGGGGAAGGCCTGAAATTGCCTGGGGTGTTTCTCGGAAGCATTTTGACCCCACTGCTCAGCAGCAAAAGCCCCGAGATTTTGGGCTTATAGATCCAAAAATACAAGAGAGCCCTTATCTTCATGGCTCCGATCCAAAAAGGCCTAGCCCAAGAGGAAAGGAATTTGGGTGGGGGGAACAAGCCACCAAGCACCGACACGCAGTGCCGCGAGGGCCTTCTCACGGCCGTCGGGGTGGCTGCGCTCGCTGTTCAGAAAGAGGCTTTTGCCAGCTCCACCATTCTGCCGATTAAACCCCTCCTTCCACAACTGGCTGTTTTCCCTGTGGATGGAAAACGGTTAGATATCTGCCTACTAAGTGGAGCTTTTCCCACAAAAGGGGGCAAGGAGCATGAAGTGGGAATAATTTTTATCGGGAAGGGCCAAAGCACCTCTTTCCTCAGCCCCTCACACTAAATCTGAGTCCCTTGTTCCCATTTACGGAAAGGGATGACTGAGGCTTCATGGGATGATTTCCATGACTAGACTGTAGCAAGGACCACACCAGTGTTAAATCAGGAAGAAACAGCTGCAGCCTGGAAACAGACTGTTCCCAACTTTAAATGCTGTGCTTGTGAAAGAGTTGCTTCATAGCCTGATTTCTTCACGTCAGGGGAGCTGTAGAAACACATTTTCTGAATCAGCTCCATTTACTGAAACTGATTGGCTCCAGTCGCCCCTGGTCACCACTGCAGGTCAGCAAGTGCCGTCCCCAATAAGTCGTCCAGACTTGCAGAAGCCGTTTCGGGAAGGATGGAGTTCGGAAGGAGCCACGGCTGTTGAGAAATGCATGGAGAAAAGCTCTTTTCTTGCTCCCTGTAACAGGAAGGAAGCGTGCGGGCCCACTGCTCAGGAACGGTGGTGAAATGCTAGCAGCTGGCAGATGGGAAGGAACTGCCCAGCTTTTTCCTGAAAATGTCACAACATGTGTGACAGCGCAGAATTACTAAGTGGTCAGGACACGCCTGGCTATCTTAGACAAGTCCATGCCTTTGGGCCAGATGAATTCCACCGTGATTCTACAGGAACTGGCTGGTAAGCTCCCAAAATCTTGCTGCATCATCTTTGAGCTATCTTGGAGAATGGGAGAGATGCCGCAGGGTCGGAGATGGGACAGTGTTGTCCCCCACATCTTTAGAAAGGGGGAGCCAGAAAACTGCACCCTGGTTGTCCAACTTTGACAGGGCAGGTGCTGGATTCAGGATCTGCCTTCTAGGCAAGGAAGCAGTCTTGCTCAAGAGGAGGGGCTCGGCTGGGGAAGATCGCACTGCCTAGCCAAAACTCGCCCACCCCATAACTACTGGGGGGCCCTCTATCTGTGTGGCATTCCCAGGGATTTGGACGGGCTGCCGTGGGAAGCACGGCAGGGAAGTTCATTTTCAACAGTGCAGTTCGTCCTGTGTAAATTTGGATCCAACTTCAGGAGAGTCTCGGTGAGCATCACAATAGCAGTGCTGGTGGGAGCCTGCATAGATTCGTCAAGAATAAATCTTGCTAACACTTCCCGCCCCCCCCCCCTCCCACCCCCGGCAAAAAATCTGGTTGCTAGCTTAATAGATTGAGGGAATGCTGTGGATGTAATTTATGCTGACTGCAGCAAAGCTGCAGAGTCCTCCATGATATTTAGGTTGGCAAACTGGTTTAAATGTGGTCAGATGATCATACTGTTGGTAGATTTACAGCCACCTGGGAAAATGTACTCAAAGGTTCTCATAAATGATTCCTCAGGTCAGCTGGAAGGAGGTTTAGCATGGAGTGAAAGTTATTCATATTCTCTGACACTGATTTCAACGGGAACCAAGTTCAGCTAATGGTCTGGATCCAGGCCCATCAGGGGAATAAAACAAGCAGCCATAAAAGTTTAAAGCACAGCAGAGGAAGAGAGAGAGCAATGGAACTCAAGTGGCAGGGAGTTCCTCAGTCTCTCACTTGAACCACAGCTACAGTTTTCATCTGCTTCAGCTCCTTTCCTTTTCCTGTTCTATGCTATCAAAGTGCATGTACATATCAATAAAACAATGCCAACTGTATCTATGTACATATTTGTTGTACATAGAGGGGTTTGGAAAATCTATTTATTGGCATATTTTTACCCCTCTCCATTGCAGAGATCACGCAGCAAGAAAAATCCCTTCCTGCAGGCTTACAATGGAAAAAAGTCACAACATACAAGGAAGAAGGCATGGGGAGGGAAGAGGAAAAATGGAGCTGATTGTTAGCATTGCTGGTGGAAAGGCCCTGCTTCCCCTCTTATCTTGGAAGGGGCAGATAATAACTGGAACCGGCCCCAGTGTTCCCTTTGCTTGCTCCTGTTCCTTCCTTCAGTGCAGCTGATCAATGAATGCACAGTCTACTTGAGCTTTAATTCTAATTAAGTCCAAATCCCTGAGCCCTAGAATGCAGCCCAGCACAAAGCCATGTTTCGTTCAGCTGTTCAGTTGCCTCCGACTATAAGTGATCCTATGGGCCAAATCTTGCCACTCTTTTCGATCCAGTGCCACCTCTTTCAGCTCTGGCCTCTGTCCTCTTGAATGGAGTTTAACTACCTCGCTCTTTGGTGACCTGGTTTTTTCTTTCCGCTGAGCATTCCAAGGATTATATCTTTTTCTAAGGAGCTTGATCACACAGGGTGGCCAACATACGTGAGTCTCAGGTTTGTTATGTGCTTTGCTTTGTGATTGCTGGCAAATTTGCTCAAGGATAGGCTGGACGTCCACATGGTGGGCATGTTGTGAGCAGAGCCGGCTGGTGTTGGGGGTCAGACTAGATGGCCCGGGAGACCCCTTCTGACTCACACTGTTTCTGTGTTATCTTGCCGACATGTCTGGTTTGATACGCTGCAGCCCCTGCTCCTTCTTCGCCCCCACTGCCCATGGAATGAGCTGCAGCCTCCACCAGCTCCACAGTTCACACGAGCCAAGTTTCCTCTGGCCCAACTTTTCCATCGGCCAATTTTCACAACCGTAGGTTGCAACTGAAAAATGACCACTCGGACCAACCTGCACTTGGTTGCCACGCTGATGTTCTTGTTTTTCCACACTCGCTTCATGCTTGTCGTCGCCGTGCGACCTGGGGAACAAAGTGTGATGAGCCCAGGCAGGGAAAATGCTTCTGTCACCCTCTTCTCCATCGTCCCCAAGCCAACGGATCCGCAGGGCCAGCGCTGCACTATATGCAAGCCGCCATTCTGGGAAGCCCGTGATGGTCCTCGCGGATGCATCTGAGCAAGCTTGTTCAAGGGGCTGGGAAGCACGACGGGGGCACGGAGGAGGGGCTGGGCATGGCTTCGGGGGTGCCAGGCGTGAGATGCGACTTGCGTGGAACGCGACCTGGGATACGGGCCCCGTGGGATTCCACGTGCCTTTCTTTCAAGTACATGAAAAGCACAATGCCTGTGGCCCGTCCAGCTGGGATTCTGTTTGCTTTGCAGCGTCTGTGGAGGAAAATGCTCAGTGTTCCAGTTCATGCCACCTGGGCCAGGACTTTCTAGAGCAGGGCAGCAGTTTTGAAAGCAACCTTAATATTTGCCTACAACAGATATTTGCCCAATAACTTTTCTTATTTACCCAGTGATGTTTGTGTCATTCATGGGCATTGGGCAGGAAACACAGAAACAGTCTTGCTGTATCCCTCTTGTAATGAGGGGCCCAGAACTGAACACAAGACTCCAGTTGCAGGTGCACCAGAGTCGTGTAGTGGTAGTAATACCTCTCTCGATCTAGAAGCCACACTTCTGGCTATGCAACCAAGGGTGGCGTTCGCCCTCTTGGCCACCGCATCACACGGCTGGCTCATGTTTAGCCTGCAGTCGACCAGCACCCCGAGGTCCCTTTCACGAGTGCTGCTCTCCAGCCACTTGTCCCCTGACTTGTCCTTATGACACCCATTCCTTGCACTTACCTGCATTGAACACCATCCTGTTGTCCCCGGCCCACTTCCAGAGTCTGCCCAGATCCTTTTGGATCCAGAGCACCTGCTCCTCAGTTGTGGCCACTGCCCCTATTTTAGTATCATCTCCCCCTGCTGCAGAAGGTTGCCCTGGAGGTCTCCATTTTCACTGGGTGTGTGGAGGGCACTTTGCTGGCCAGCGCAACTCGGCCAGCAGCCGCCCTGTGCAAAACACTGGCTCAGATCTTGGGAAGTCTGCAAGGGAGAGCATTGGCTCCGGAAGAGAGGACCGAGGGAGTGCTTGAAGTGCGCTGGGCAACTTGGCACGCCCCAGCCGCCGAGTCACCCGCCCTCCCGTCCGTTTCTGAGGACAAGGCGGAATTGTTTTCCGTGGACACCTTTGACAAGCAGCTCAGTCATGGCCTTGAGTCGCCCACGCAACCCCCCTCCTCTGTGCCTGCCTTAATTTGGTCTTGGCACTGAGGCGCAGATCTTTTCTCTTATCTCGCTGGTTTGGGCGTGTGTGGTGGGCTTCCGAGGCCCCTGTGCATCCTCATCCTGGAATCCAGACCCCCTGCACACCCTGCTCAGCTCCACCCGCTTTCCAAGCAGCTGCTCCTCTTTGCTCCCTCCCTCCCATCTTCTGTCGCTTCCTTTCCACTCCCCCTTCAGGTCGGCCTTCCACGCCCATCTCGTCCGTCCGCTGCCTGGGTTTTCCACAGCAGGGCACGTGACCCCCATAAGAATGGGGATATGCACAAGTCCAGCGGCTCTGGAAATTCCCTGGGCACCCGGCGGCAGGGAGAGCAGAGGCAAAGCTGGAGCGCTGGGCTGCTGGGCCGGATCAGAGCCACAAGCGCGGAGCACATCACTTGCTTTATGGCGGGGCACAGCTGGGCACCTCCATGCTGAAGGGGGAGTTCCAGGTCTGATGACAGCCGCATCCCACCACAGTTCTGCTCCCTCGCCGGGACGGGAATGCAAATCCTCACAGAGCCACGGGGAGTGGCACGAGCCACGGTTGGCCTTGGCAACGGTGGGAAATGACTGGATGCCTTCCCGGTTGCCAAGGGAGGGAGGCAGGGCTGGGAGGATCGGCCAGCTCGGAGCCAAAGGTTGGAAAGCCACTGCACCTTGCCAGGAAACATTTGGCCGGCCCCTCCGCCCCGGTGCAGAGGCAGACGCCGGGGCTCACCTGGCCACACGTCCTACAGAGGAAGCCCCTTTCCTTCCTGCGTGTGTGAGCTGAAGAAAGGGCGAGTCCAGGGTGCCTCTGAGCGCCCCTTTCTCTCTCCCAGGGAAGCGTAGCCGGGGCTGAGGCTCGGACACAGCGCAGGGTGAGGCATGGCGCAAGAGGAGCGGCGGGCCGCACGAGCCACGGGGGCTCGGGCTGCGGTCGACCCCGAGCAGATCGAGGCCCTCCTGGCCGCGTGCAGAGAAGCCAAGAAGTTTGCCTACTGCCCCTACAGCAACTACCCCGTGGGGGCCGCTCTCCTGACCTCTGATGGGAAGCTCTTCCTAGGTAAGCGAGCACCAGCCCCGCTGCTCCCCAGCCCGGCGCTGCTGCTGGGTGCTTAACCGCAAGAGACGGGCCGCGCATGTTTCCTGGAGCCTCTTTCCTGTGGCCGGGCCGTCTGCTGGGGGCGACGCGCTCCCACCAGGAAAGGGGGTACCCAGCCCGGGTCAACCTTGGCACCCCGTGTGGTGGGGCGAAAACCGAGGCTGGCAGGCCCAGCTGCCATCGGTACGGACCTGCCTTTTGTTTTTTTAAATCCCTTTCAAACTGGACTGGAGTCGGAGGGGGAGAGCGGGGCGAGCTGCCGTCCTTCCATGCCCAGAATGCCCCTGTTCTGCCACAGGGCCCCGGAGCATCCTGGGGCAGTCCCTATGGGGGCCGCAGTCAGCTTGTTAGCACTCCTGGGTGGAATACCACCCTGGGTGCTGGTAAGCTATTATGGGGTGGAGAGAGGCGTGCAACGGGGCAACTGTGGGGCGGCAGGTACACTGTCTGCTTGCACTTGTTCAGTGGGGCTCTTCAGAATATGGACGGGCCACAACCCGTGTGTGCTTTGCGACACCCCACTGTGTGGATGGGGGCGTTTGCAGGGGAACCAGCACCTAACTCTGCTCTGCTGGCTGATTTGTCCTGCAAACCTGTTAAGAATATAGAAAGAACCCCACTGGCTCAGTGCAAGCATCCAATCCCCCAGTATTCTGTTTCCACCAGCGGACAGCTAGCTGTCCCTGGGAAGCTTGCGGAGGGGACATGGAGAAGTCAGCTTTGCTGTGACTTTGCAGCCAGAGTTTGGAGGGCGAGTTCTCCAAATGCACACAGGTAGCTGCCAGGGCAAAGAATGACTAACTACATCTCCGTCCTGCCCAAGAGCAAAGTTCTCTCTGCGGTTTCATGACAGAACCATCAAGTACAATTTTATTGATAGGCGTGCTTGTTTTGAGAGCTGTGTTTGTTTTAAACCTGTTTTTAAATTGAATGTTACATCGTACATTGCTTTAATATTTTATTTATTTATTTTAAACATTTCTATGCCGCCCCCATCGCAACAAAGCCTCGGGGCGGCTCACAATAGGATTCTGAGAGTGTTGTGCTAAACAAATGATACAGAATGCCTCAATAAATCTAAATAAATGAACACAAGAGCAGGATAATTCACAGTGAGAATGGTTCAAAAGTTTAAAACTACACTCTCAAGCCAAAGTGAAGATCCAGGATCTGTGTAAAAATGCAAGAAGGACTATAATGCCAGGGAGAATGAAAGGGCACCAAAGGACCACAGAATAAGGGCCAGGGGACCCCTCTGGGGAGGTTGTTCCACAATGGGGTGCCCCCACTGAAAAGGCCCTCTTCGTAGCAGCCACCAGCTTCGTTTCATTTCGTGGCGGCGCCCAGAGGAGGTGCTGAGGGCGCTCTTAAGGCTCAGCCAGGAAGTTGGGGAGGAAATGGCTGTGTAGAGGACTTGGCCCCAGGCTAATCCCAAAGCTTTGGACTGGGCTCAGAAACGGACTGGATGGATGGAAGGTGTAGTCCAGCCCATCTGGAAAGCGAGATGGGGAAGGATGCGCTGGTGCGATCCATAAGTAGCAGTGCGATTTTAGGAATGTCTCCTCAGAAGTCCCACTCATGGGTGATATACATGCATTATAAATCAACAATTCAAAGAATCGGTGGGGGTTTGGTGCACCAGGGCACAAGATGAGTCACCTTAATGAAGAATGGTCATTTGTACCCAGGGGACCCTCTCCTCCTGAAGAGGGTGCCTCTAAGCATCTGCAAAGTGCAGTTGCCTTCTTATCTGGGAATGGATACAAACTGCACAATAGCGGCAAGAAACATGAGCTTGCCAAGGGCAGATTCCTGCCCGTTTGTGGCAAGGAGTCGTGGCATTTGGGGACAGATGGCGGTTGCAGATGGAGGCCGGTGGAGAGGAGGAGGTGCCGGGCGCTGGACGGCCCATTGCCTGTCCCCAGAATCCTGCCTGCCTGCAGTGCCAGCCAAGTGTGCATCCACTCTCCGAGTTGGCAAGGGAAAAACAGAAGCCACCGCGTGCAGAGTGCTTTCCGTCCCGGCCTCCTGCATCTCTAATGCATGGCTTAAATTAGACAGACTGCCAAATTGACTCGGCTTGCTGCATCTACGAAAGCCAGGACAGATGTTGGCAGGATGGTCTCGGAATGAGGGGGTAACATAATTCTCCTCCTCCTCTCCATTTTATCCTCGCAACAACCTAGTGAAGGAGGTTAGGCGGAGAGTCAGGAACTGGTCCGGAGCCAGTTGGCCAGAGAGCTGTGTTGCCGAGAGGAGACTTGAGTCAGGAGCTCCCCGGTCCTCTACGTGGCACTGGCTCTTAAAACTGTACAAGAACCAGGTGGTGCTTTTTGGCTGAAGCCTGCTGTAGAAATGCCATGAACAACTGGGTTGGAAGGGACCTTAAAGGTCATCCAGTCCACCCCCCACCCCCGATCAGGTCTAGAATTTAAGAGGAGCATGCGCATCCCCTAACATGGTGAGTTTTATTTTGTTTTGCTGAAAGTTTTACAATAGAACTGTTCAGTAAATCTGGCAGGTTTTATATCAGTAGCCCTACAACAACCTTGTAAGGTAGGGCTTTTATTATCCCCCTACTACAGATGAAGATACTGAGGCTAAGAAAAAAAAGGGAGAGCTTTGCTTAAGACCTCCCTGTGAGTTCTCAACAATAGGGTGGAGGGAAGTAGGAAAGAAATATGTGTCAAAGGATTTAATAAGGAAGACAATATGTCATGTGTGTTAAGCCAGAACATTTCTTCCTTGAAGGATAAGGTCCAATAACAACACATCTATAGCTAGCATAGGATTGAAAAACCAGAATTGATAAAATTCAAAGGTAGATCTGTTGAAATAGTGATAATAACAACAATTTAGCAAACCAAGCAATATACGAACCAGCTCAGAAACAGGCTCCGTCATTCCCTTTTATCCTAGGAATTCTTTCTTTATTTACACTTTATTTATTTATTTATTTATTAAAACATTTCTATGCCACCCCATTTGCCGAAGCCTCGGGGCGGCTCACAACATTAAGTTAAAATACAAACATTAAGTTATAACGTTAAGTTAAAATGTTTGTAAAATGCAAACATTAAGTTAAAATACAAACCATAACAATATAAAATAAGTCACCCTGGCCAGATAAAATCCAATAATATTAACAATTAAAATGATGCTTAAATAAAAAGGTCTTTGCCTGGCGCCGAAAAACAAATAACGACGGCGCCAGGCGGACCTCTCTGGGGAGCGCATTCCATAGATTAGGCACCACCGCAGATACCACCCCATAGCCCATTGGGTCCTCTGAGCAGTTTACAAATTTATAAACACAATAAATAATCATATTTAAATAAGTAATAAAGCCAATACAGAAAAAATCGAAAACCCACCGTGACTATAATAAAATCAATATATGGCATGGCAGCAAGAAAAGCAATTAAAACAAATTATTATATATTAAAAGAGCTGGAAAATAAAAAGGCTTTCACTTGGTGCCAAAAAGAAAACAAAGATGGCGCCAGGCACACCTCCTTGGGGAACATGTTGCAAAGAGAGGGTGTTACCACCGAAAAGGCCCTTCCCAGTCCTTACTCTACCCCATAGGAGGCTTTGAGCTCAGCCAGACTGACAAGTGCCCAGTCCCTCATAAAATCTGGACCGCAAACTCTGGTGTTCCCTGAGCGGTTGCACATTCTGTGACATCACAACAGCTCATCCAATCACGTGTGTTTGTCAGCTATCAATGCTCAGGGCTCGCCGAGCAAGATCTTCACCCATGCTTTGCTCTACACAGGTTGCAACGTTGAGAACGCATGCTACCCGCTGGGCGTGTGTGCTGAGCGCACGGCTATCCAAAAGGCAGTATCGGAAGGATGCACAAAGTTTCAAGCCATAGCCATTTGCTGGTGAGTATTATGGCCCTTCCTATCACTTCCAGGCAAATAGAGGGGGAAGAAATGGAGGTAGTGACAGATTTTATTTTCCTGGGCTCCAAGATCACTGCAGACGGGGACTGCAGCCAAGAAATTAAAAGACGCTTGCTCCTGGGGAGGAAAGCTATGGCAAACCTAGACAGCACACTAAAAAGCAGGGACATCACGCTGACAACAAAAGTGCGTATAGTCAAGGCTATGGTTTTCCCAGTTGCAATGTATGGTTGTGAAAGCTGGACCATAAGGAAGGCTGAGCACTGAAGAACTGATGCTCTTGAATTGTGGTGCTGGAGGAGACTCCTGAGAGTCCCCTGGACTGCAAGGAGATCAAACTGGTCAGTCCTAAAGGAAAGCAACCCTGACTGTTCTCTAGTAGGACAGAAACTGAAGCGGAAGCTCAAATACTTTGGCCACCAAATGAGCAGGAAGGACTCCCTGTAGAAGAGCCTGATGCTGGGAACAATAGATGGCAAAAGGAGAAAGAGATGGCCGAGGTTGAGGTGGCTGGATGGAGTCACTGGGGCGGTGGGAGTGGGCTTGGGTGGACTCCGACGGATGGTGGAGGACAGGAGAGCCTGGAGGAATATTGTCCACAGGGTCGTGAAGAGTCGGACACGACTTCTTGACTAACAACAACGTTCTGCCCCTTCCATGAGCTTTCATTTGCCATGTATGGAGGATGCCATGCTGTGGTTTCTTTGGTCTCCTCGAAAGTCAGGATGTGAGCTCTGGTGACAGTGGGTTGGATCTGGGACCTGCCTTGCACACAGAGAAGGCTTACACTCGCAGAAGCTGTCTCCCCAAGGTTCAGGGGATCCTACTCCTTCCATGCCACAGATCCCTCCTGACTGTGTTGTATTTTGGGGGGGATTGAGGGGGATTGAGGGGACATCCTGGGAGGAGGGATCAGGGAAGTCCACTTCTGACCGCGTAGGTGATCCGGGGGAAATCTGGATCCAACCCACCTGAACAACAGGAGAAATCCATCAGTAAGAGCAATCTGATAAAGGGATCTATGGGGAGGCCCTTCCACGGAGGTCTTCATGCAAAGGGATGGACAGCTACCTGCTGGAGGTACCTTCACTCTGGCCGGCCAACATCGAGAAGGGGCAAGGGCCGGATCGCCCAAGAAGCCACCACAAACCCTACAGTTTTGCAATTTGGGAAGCGGGCCCCTGAGGCAACTCTTTTGATTTTGTGTTAATCGTTCCTTGCATGAGCATATTTTCTAGGCAGCGTCTTGTGTTCTGCCCATGAGACCCCAGGTTTGTTCTCTGCTCTTCTCTTCCAACAGCAACAGCCAAGAGTCGTTCGCCACGCCCTGTGGGGCCTGCCGGCAAGTGCTGCGCGAGGTGAGCACTCCTTTGCGTCCCCAATCCGACCACTTGCTCCCCGAGTCGGGAAAGCCTTGACGGCAGCCACAACAAGGGTTACCAGGTTCAGTCAGGAAAGACCCCTCTTGCCTTGAACCTCCACAGTTTTCTTGACTCAGGACCCTTGCAGTCACTAACAATAATATATTACGGGGCAGAAGCAAACTCAACTACAAAATCTCAGCCCATGTACAGACACTTGTCTAACCTGCTAGTCACGTACACCAATACAATTCCAGATAAGCTCAGCACAATAACATCCTGCTGTCTTTAGGCATGGCACAATGCTCTAAACTGAAGTCAGAAATACTGGTAGCAATAGTTTGGAAAACATGACCGGTGGCTTTATTGAGCTGTCAGTTGAGTAGAGCTCTTTGCAGTCTGGATCCTGTTTAAACATGCAAATGTGTCTGATGGAGGAACCATCCAGGAAATCTGGTTTGACAGCCACACTTCACAGGGGCTTACCTCTGTGGGACTAGATGCTTAGGGGGGTCCATTCAGAAGCAAATGGGTGCCAGTGCTTCAGTTTTTCTGCAGCTGAGGAGAACACAGGTATTTCCTCACTGATAGTGTTCGCCTCCAGCAGCTTCTCAGTCCAGTTAAGAGATCCATCTTCTTTAAGTAAGAGCAGCACTAAACAGTGACCTGGCTTGGCATTTTGGGTGCTTCCTGAGAAAGGGGTGCGGGTTTGATTTTATAACACAAAGGCGCATATAAGCAACTTTTTCCTGCCAGGATTTATCTGAATTTTCCCAACACCCGCAGGCCGAAAATGAACATTTTGGCATTCTGGGGAAGTCTGAGGGCAGCCTGTCCCAACCTGCTGCCTGCCAGGTACCACATTTCCCATCACCCCAACCATTGCCTCTGCTGGCAGGGACTGATGGCTGTTGGAATTAACAATATCTGGGGAGCTATGGGTGCCTCACCCCTGCACCAAGGCTACAACTTTGCTAACGGAACTGCTCGGGACACCTGCTAGTAATCTGTTCCAGGAAAGTTGGACGATTTGGGGCCTAGCTCCACAAAGCCCAATATTTGGGTCAGATTTATAAATTTATTTTTTTAAAAAAGCATTTATTTAGCCATGGCATGTATAGTAAATGGAGGCATGAGGCACTATCTTTTCTAACACCTCTTCTCTCCAGCAGCAGCTGTTTCCACACGAGAAAGCAAGCTTGACCATGAGTATAGGCTGGATGTGCGCACGGTGGGCGTGTCGTGAGCGGAGCCGGCTGGGGCCGGGGGTCAGGCTAGATGGCCCGGGAGGCCCCTGCTGCCTCGCCCTGCTTCGGTGTTTCTATGAGTCACTGTGGGGGTTTTGACTCTGCTCTCCGCATCTTTCCTTCCGTCCCTGCCATTTTAGACTGTAAGCCTGCATGCAGGGATTGGCTGTTTGCATCGGAGCCTCTCCAGGAGGCATCAGGCCTGGGAGCAGAATAACCATCATTTCCCCAAATGGCAAGACAGGGAAGAAGGGCCCAGGGATACCACGACAAGCATTCTCTTGCAATTGGAGGTATTTAGTAAAAGCCAGCGTGGTGCAGTGGTAGGAACACAGGACTGGGACTGGGGCGATCCAGGTTCGAGTCCCCCCTTGGCCCCGGAGCCAGCTGGGTGACTTTGGGCCAGTCACAGCCTCTCGGTCCAACCTACCTCACAGGGTTGTTGTTGTGCGGGTAAGAATGAGAGAAAGAGGTGAATGCTGTGAGCCGCCTTGAGTTCCTTGGAAACAAAAAAGCTGGGATATAAATAAAATGAAAAAAAACAAACAAACAACAGCATAACATTGGGCAAGATGATGGACGTGCAGCCTGACCTTCCCGTGTTAATAGCTGGAGACCTCCATGGAGAAGCAGGCAATGGCAGAAGTTTCGAAAGCAATGTGTGGTGTGGGGAGAATAAAAAGTCTCCCCACAACCTGGTTCCCCGCTGCCCCGTGTGTTGGATCACAGCTGGCTAGTTCTGAGCTAGAACAAGAGGAAGGATTCTTTTTAGCCCCTCCGGCATAACCCGTCAGGTCACTGAAAGTCAGAAAAGCTGCACCCAAGCACGGAACTGCCCTGTGGAACTCACAGCCGCAAAAGGCTGGCCACGGGCTCAGGTGACTTTTGAAAGGAGTTAGGACACCTCTGCGGCATCCAAAGGCCTCCTCTACATCTGAAAGGAGAACCCTGCGGGGTTTCAGGGGCAAGCCCATTGCTAGCTGTGGGTCTGCAGAGAAAGGCCTCTTGCTTTCATGGCTTTTCCAGAGGCATCTGGCTGCTCCCAGGAGGCAAAAGGAAGTTGGACTGGCTGGACTTTTGCTTTGGTTGGCAGGTTCCTTCTTGCATACTAAGCTGATGCACGAGGTTGTTAACCTTTTGTCACTGCAGCTTTCTGCATTGTCCAAATGATCACAGTTTAACTGGCAGAAGGCTTGCACAGCTGGGTTCTGCAGTTTATTCAAAAAAATGTTTTCTTGTCAGTATGGTGCCATTTCAAAGCAAACTTCATATGAACACCAGAAAATGGGATGCATAAACAGAAATCATGGTAAATGGGGAAAAATACAATGCAGTGAAAATGCATACATGTGAAATGGCATACTGTTAAATATTTAATGTAATCCCCATGACAGATTTTTTAAGTTAATTAAAACAAAAAATAAAAAAATGATTTAGAAGGCACATCGGTTTTCTTATTTTTTCCTACTTTTTAAAGTTGTTAGAATTCAAGCAGTGACCCATATTAAAGGTTTTGCAGCGCATCCCTATGCATGTTTACTCAAAAGTAAGTCCCACTACACTTAATGGGGTTCACTTTCCAGAAAGCGTGCATGGAATTGCAGCCCGGATCTCACAAGCATTGTGATCTGGTCATAGTCAGTCATCCCACTAAGCTAACACACACTGCACATTGTTCCTTGACCCACTGGAATTACTCTACAGCATTTGCAATTTAATGCTGATCAGAGTTTAGGGCAGTGGCACTTCCCAGCTGGTCATAGGTTGCAAAATTATGCTTTGTCAGAAAAGAGGAAATGCATCTCCACCCAGCATAGAGATGTGTGCAAAAATTTGAATGTGAAGATTTGCATTCTTCCAAATGCAAATTTGGAAGAAATCACTGAAACAGAACTACAGTGCTTCTCACCCAAGTTCAAGCCATTGTCCTCCCCTCTGAGGGTTCTTCATCTTTAAACGGGACTTGGAATGGGCAGCCTTTGAAAAGAGGACTGTACTGACAACCCTTCAAACACACAACAGTTCTCTATAAAGGACACAGTATTGGCAAAGAAATGATTTGGAGCCAAATCTGCAGAGATGTTTGCCGTACTTTAAAAGGTTACGAGTGACATGAAATGCAACATCCCCAGATATTTTTGGCATCTGTTCCTTAGGGATGACGGTCTGGTCATTCACACTGGCTGGGAAAGTACCTGTATGTTTTCCAGTTTTTAACTAAGGAAGAAACATGGCCCATGGAAGTTCTCAACTGCTCTGGCTCCTCCTTTGTTGCATTTAAGGTTTTGCATGTGCTTTTAAGGCAACCATCTCACGGATGTTGTTATTTTAAACTCTTTTCTAGTTTGGCAAGCACTGGGACATCTATTTGGCCAAGACAGATGGGACGTATATACAAAAAACTTTGGAAGAGCTGCTACCCCTCTCCTTCGGACCAGAAGATCTGAATACATCCTAAAAAAAGCGAGCTATCAGGAAGTACTCACTGGCTTTGTCACCCAAGTATGAAATTAGGCAATTAGGAATTTTCTGTTGCTTTTTTTTTTTTTTAACTTTCCAGAGCAGGTTCAGAGAACTATGCAAGCAGCTTGTCACAGCGACTTTCAGTTTATTTGTGCTTTTCTTTCCCATGCCATGAGACATCGATTTTGATATAAGATGCAAGAATGAGTCACAATTCTGTTTGCGTGTTTTTATTGAGGCATGTGTGCCGGTTGATAAAACCACAACACACCCCTGCTTCCAAATAAACAAGTTTGACATACAGCTGTGGCTTTATGACAAGCATTTTTATCTGTGAGCTGCATACAAGGGCATATATGCACTTCAGTAAAAAATGACGCAAAAGATTATGGATGTAATCATACATATTGCTACATTTGCTTTGGTTTCTTGCAGGTTTTTTTCCTGGTGCACCCAGTGTGTGTCTCGCTGTCTGGGGTTGAAATTATGCAAATAAAATAAACTGTCTCTATTTGTACATGCTCCAATTCTAGAATTGGTTTTAGAAATGCTATTTAAACTGGAATTCATGAGGCAAGGAAAGCAGAGAGAAAATACAAGCTTACAGAACCCAGATGAGAAAGGAAGAGAACCTAGGACTACTTTCACCCCAGTAATGTGAGCAAATGGAATGTGGGAACTCTACAGTTCCACCTTCTTTGTGTACACAGTTTCTGCTCTTGTTTTAATTTCCCTGTTTTCATTTTTCACACATGGGAAGCAAAGTGCTCTTTCTCCCAGGAGTAAGTTTCTTTTGATCACTCTGCCATTTGACTCCACAAAATCCTATCAAGGACACAATGAGTTTAATTTTCAAATAATTAGTAGTTACATGTGGCTATAAATGTCGCAACGCAACAAAACACTGTCTGCTAACATTTAATTCCATTGTTTTGTTCCAATCAAAATGAACAGAAATTACTGTGATTTGCTCCAGGTATGCAAAAGAGGGGCAACATAATTAACCCAGAGTAATGCATCAGGAGTCATTCTGATCTCAAATTAGTGCAAATTTCCTCATCCAGATTTTGCCATATAGTTGGAGTAATGATCAAAGTAAAATTAATGCAGATAGTCATTCCCCATGATTCCATTTTTGTTTTTAATTTACACATTTTGTACAAAGCACCGCAGATGCAGTTTACCATATCATTCAGTTCCTGCCATGCACGTGTCGGCCCTTTCCCCTTTAAATCACCAGTTGCATCCAATAGGCATGGGTAGAATATTGCTGAAAAGCAGCCTTAATGTGATTGTATACACAGCTACAGAAAGGTGTGTGGGTCACGGTATTTTACCATTGTGCAGAAGCTCATGTCGCACCATCAGTAGAACACAACACAGGGAGACTCCTGATGCAGTGTTGCATGCACTCACACCAAAACTGTTTCCGTGTGTGTGTGTGTGTGTGGTTTTGGTTTGCTTTATCAATGTACCCATGTGCACCAATGGGGCAAAGAGCAATTGGACGGGGAAAATCTTGATTTTAAAAAATGCCTGGGGAAAGGGGAATAAAAAACTCCATGAAAGCTGCAGTCTGGATTCAGATTGGTATTCTGCTGCTTCTCTTTAGCTCTGAAAAAGTCTTCTGGGGATCCAATCATGTCCAATCCAGTTTGGCTCTTGGTTTTCTTTCAAAAGGTTAATCAAATTTATGGAGAATGTGGGTCGTTAGCCAGGTCAGTTAAGCGAACTTAACGCATCCAGGCACAGTGTGCATCAAAATACGTGTTGCTAGGGCAGCAATAGCACATGAGGGGAGTTCCTTGGGGCCCGCCCTCTACGCTTCCTGGAAGCGGCTGGCAGGATGCTAGACGGAACGGGCCACCCTTCCCCAGCTCCATGCCTGAAGGATGTGCTGGCCGGCAGCTCTGCTCCCCTGCAGCCAGGCCAGTGTGTGCCACGGCCTGCCCCAACACAGAGCTTACAAAGCACAGCGCCTAGCTTCTGAAGTCCAAGGCGCCAGGCTGCCAGAAGCCTCCAGCTCTCGCCCTTTCCTCCAAAACTTGCCTGGCTGTCACACTGCACTTGTCATGGCAACGCTCCACACACATCATCCGGCCGTAATGCTTACAAGGATCCTGAAGTCTTTGGTGAGTTCCCTGCAGAGTCGAGATCTGAATGGGGTGGTAGTTTCAGACCAGTCTTGCTCACGGCAGTTGCCTGTCTGTTTACTCTGAAGAAAGTGCAGCTCGTGGAGACTTACTCCAGTATCTGCTCTCTCTCAAACAGGGCACTCTTGTCTGAATCCCTGCTCAATGCCAGAGAACTAGCACTGCAACACTGCAGGATCCCACGCTCCCGCTAAAGAATCTTCATACTTTATATCTACATAGCTTTCCTGTGAATCCAGGGTATTCAAAGCAATTCTCAAACCTTTTTAGATCATCTGCACAGCAAACCTGTAAAGCAAATCAGGATTATAATCCCCTTATTGCTAGGGGTGGGCGGGTTGAGGCAGAAACAGAGCTTTACCTAAGCCCACCCAGTGCTCTCCAAACCCATCACGGTTCTGTCATGGTAGCTTAAGTCTGGCTTACACATCACCCTGACAAGCAAGCCATGACATTTCCAGTTGTTGTTCTGCCTGGGATGGGGAGGTGAATCATCCAAAACCAGGTGACTCACTGCTGCTCGTTTGAGGTGGCTAGCAAATGACCACCAATGCAAGCTACTCCCAAACAGCCCATGGGGGCTGCTGGCACAGGCTTCCCCACTCCCCAGACTGCCACAAACTGCCTTTTGAGTTCACTGTGGCTTTTCCCCCCATTTAAAATGCCAAGCCACCTTTCTCAGACTGCTTGGGCCAATAGTCCCTCCACCATGTTCTAGTGGCACCTTAGAGGTGCTTCCTGCAACCACCCAGCAGTTTGTTTTAAAGTGTGTACAGAAATATGTGCCAAATATTACAAACAGAAAGGATTACAAAAGAGGGTGTGAGGGGTGCTACACAGCCTTCTCAGTAAGATCCTTTTCTTTCCTGGTTTCCTCCTTTAGTTCATCGTAGGGGTGAGATCTGAGCCTTCCAATTTGCGTAACAGTCCCACTGAAACTTCCAGGAATGTTGTAATCATTAATTCACGGAAAGTGCTCTAAGCACTTTCCATGAATGCTATGCATTGATTATTTTTGCTGTCGGTATTACTTTAAACTGGTATTATGGAATGTCCGCCTGCCAAGACTCCCCTTGCCAATCTTGTTTTCTTTTATATGCATAGCATAAAAAGTATTCTTATCCTCCCAGGATTTTAAAGGAGGTTTTAATGAAACAAAACAAAACCTTTGTTGACTCATGTTTTTAATCTACTGCTTACTAAATTGCTTTTGGTGGTTTAGGGTGCAATTTAATACATGTTTAGATAGTAAAAAGGAAGTCATCTTATAATTCCTGACATTTTGGGAAATGCTGGGAGCTGTAGGACTGTCTTCTGCCTAAACAAAGATAAGATTGCACTAGAATTTGGAGTGAATCTGTGTGCATTATATGCATACATATATTATGCATATATGTGTATATATGTATATGCATACATATATGATGCATATATGCATACATATATGTAGTATATACATAATATATATAATACATATATATATGCATTACTTACATATCTATAGCCCAAAGTGCCCAATCCTGCCTATGCTTTGAGGTTAAGCAGGATCAGGCCTGGTAGAATCTAGATGGGAGGCTCAATGTTGTGAACCACCCAGACAGCTTCAGCTACGGACGGTATAGAAATGAAATGTAATAATACGAAATGTACAGTAAGTACCACTGTGGTGTAGTGGTTAAGAGCATGGAGCTAGGGCTCAAGCAATCTGGGTTCAAGTCTCTGCTCAGCCATGGAGCCAGCTGGGTGACTTTGGGCCAGTCACAGACTCTCAGCCCAACCTACCTCACAGGGTTGTTGTTGTGGGGCTAAGACTAAGAGTAGGAGAAGGAAAATGTTATAAGCCACTTTGAGTTTTTTGGAAGGAAAACAGGCAGGGTGTCAGTATACAGGTAATAATATACATGCTTATATATTATGAACCCACACACATAGAACAAATTAAATTTCAGGATGGCTTACCAGTTTTAATATATGGTACCCCAAATTTGTCATTAGAGCCATTTACCAACTGATGGTTTTTAAATATATCTATATATAAAATATATATCTTCCTATAAATATATATGACTGGCGGTTTTTCAATATATTTATGAAAAAATACATTTAAAACCCGTCATTTTAAGCCAATAGTTTAAAAACCATTGCAGTCGACAAAGTTTTTGCACACAACGCAAAAGCGTCACTACTTCCATACATGCAATCCCCACTCCGACCAGCACACACGCTTCCATAGCCCGTGCAGACCAACCAGGGTCCCCTCTGCTTATGCTCGAGGGCGCTCTCGTCTTCCCTGCAGCGCGGACTAGGAATAATCTGGCCCCGCTACGCGAGGGCGGCCGGGGCCAGCCGGAGCCCCGCCTTTGAGGCGTCACAGTCCCCGCATCGGCAGCAACAAGCCGCCGCCGCCGCCGCAGATCCCGCGCGGCGCTTGCCGGGCTGCCCGGGCAGGCGAGGCGAGGCGATGGCGCTGCGACAGGCGCTGGGCCGGGGCGCGCGGCTGGGCCGGGGGCTGCTGT